AGGTGCATGCCTACAGTCTCCCAGCATTTGAAGAGCTGAGGCAAGAGGGTTGCTACAAGTTCCAGGCCAGCCAGAGCTACATAGTGAGACACTGTCTTTGGTTGAGGGGAGGGAGGGAATAAACAGATGTTTCCCTGTCCTGACTGCCTGGTCCCAAATAACTGACTCAGAGGCTGAATATGAATCATAAATGCTCAGTCAATAGCTCCGGCTTATTACTAACTAGCTCTTACATTTAAGTTAACCCATATTTCTATTTATGCTTTGCCACGTGGTGGTACTTTCCTTAGCATGGCATGTTCATCTCCTGCTCCCTCTGTGAGAAGACTCTTCCCATCCTCCTTAGTCTGGTTGCCCCGTTTATGCTTCCTGCCTGGCTACTGGCTAATCAGCGTTTTATTAAACCAATTTGAGTGACAGATCTTTACAGTGTCCAAGAGGATTTTTGCACAGCAGCGGTGGGTGCACCCCCCCCCCCACACACACACCATATGTAGCTCATGCATTTGAAGTACACATTTAAAACTTCTTCCCTCTTTTGTTCATTTGTATGTGGGATGGAGTGTGCACACACTGGTGGAGGTCGGAGAACAGCTTTCGGGAGGTTGGTTCTCAAAGTCTACCGAGTGGGTCCCTCGACTCCAATGGTCAGGCTTGGTGTAAGCACCTTGACCTCTGAGCCATTTACTGGCTCAGTTTGTTAGCAGTCTGGCCTTGAACTCTTTCAGTGTTGGGATCACAGGTATGAACCACCACACACACCTAGCTCCAAAGTAATTTCCACAACCCAGAAAACTGCCTCAAATAAACCACTCACCGTATCAGTTTTTACTGTTAAGTGGGGAAGAAGAAAACTGCATCCAAGTCCATGTGATTCTCCCTGCACTTCTAAAGCTCTTTTCCTGAGTTGTCCAAGACAGCCTGTTCTGTGCCCAGAAACAATAAAAGCCATTCATGAAACAGTTAGTTAAACTGACTATGAAGGTACAGCTGGGTCTGTACTCACGGTTTAGCAAGCATCGTGGGCAGCACATTCTTCTGGATCTTGAATGGTCGATTGAAACCCATGGCATAGACTCCTCGAGAAGCTGTGGTTTCCTAGGAGGAAGAGATGAGATGGGTTTCTAGCAATTAAAATGCTTTTTTTTTTTTTTTTTTTTTTTTTTTTACAGGATCTTGCTATGTAGCCTTGGCTGGCCTGGACTTGCTTTTGTAGATCATGGTGGCCTCAAACTCAAAGATCCACTTGTCTCAGCCTCCTGTGTGCTGGGATTAAAAGTGTGTGCCATCACACCTGGCTTTGTTTTTGAGGCTCCATCTCTTTATGGAGCCCAGGCTAGCCTGAAACTGTCCATGTAGCCGGTGGTGGCCTTAAACTCATGATTCTCCTGCTTTTTTGCCTTTCAAGTGCTGGGATTACAGGCATGTGCCACCACACTAAAAAACCCCATTCCTTACATTTTATATGAGGATATTCGTGGACTTTTTGTGGGCAATTGTGCATCTGTGAAGGAGAAGGACCTCAGTTAGGATACCTAGGACATGAGGAGTTCACAAGTGGAAATGAAACAAGTCAGGGCCAGTGCTGGATGACCTCTGGGGCTACAGTGCATGTCTAGAGTGCATGTCTAGAGGTTCTGATACCGCTAATGCTTCCTTCTGTCACTACATGAGCCTAAGCTCCCAGTAACAGAGTGGATATAGGGTTCTAAAGCAGGAGCTTTTGCCCACATCCACTCTGAACTTCCCTAAACATATTGCTGAACTAGGGTTTTTTGTTTTGTTTTGTTTTTTGCCCCCCTGTCCCTTTCAAGGCAGTCCAATTGCCTCTGATGACCTGATACTGATTTAAATCCCAAGGAGTCAGTGATAGCTCTGGCAGAGATGTTTCCTCTGGAAGCTTCCTAGGCCAGTGTTTACCCAGCCCCCATTTTCATGGCCATTTCTCCAGCTGACGGTCCTCATTCCTTCAGCTGCCCAGCCTACAAAGTCATTGCCTTCTAGGGCTACCTGCCCCGTGAATGGCTCTCTTCAGACCATAGAAGCTGGGAACAGAACTCTGCAAAACTCAGTTATTTTCCTTAGATATTGGGTGTGGATATGGGCAAAGGGAGACCTGGAAGATCCAATGGGTTGGCTTCCCATTTTCAGCCTATTCAACCTGATCTGCTTCACGATCCAGTGGAGCATTTGAAGAGGCTCATTAGAGACAGTGTTTTGGGGTCTCCCTAGAGTCAGTTCAAGAGCCTTGGAAAAGGCATGTGAGTGAAGCTTTGGGTGTTTTGTTGTTGTCTGAGGCACAGTCTCATGTATCCCAGGCTGGCCTCAGCCTTGCTATCTGGTTGAGAATGACCATGAACTTCTGATCCTCCTGGTCTACCTCATAAGTGCTGGGATGATAGATGGGCACCACATGCTTGGCGCACTGCTGCAAATTGAACCCAGAGCTTCGAGCTTCATGCATGCTAGTCAAGAACCAGACCACCTGAGCCACAGCTCCAGCCCGGTGGTGGTATTTTCCTTTTGGTCTTTTGAGATGGTCTTATGTTGCCCAGGCTACCTTCAAACTTGCTATGCAGTGGAGGTTGGTTGTCTTAGGCACTGTTCTATTGCTGTGAACAGACATCATGACCAAGGCAACTCTTACACAAGAAAGTATTTAACTGGGGGCTTGCTTACAGTTTCAGAGGTTTAGTCCACTATCGTCATGGCAGGGAGCATGGCGGCGGCATGTGTGGCACTGGAGTAGTAGCAGAGAACTACATCCTGATCCACAGGCTGGGCGTGGCATGGGCTTTTGAAACCATCAAGCCCACCCCCAGTGACACATTTCCTCCAAGAAGACCATACCTCCCAATCCTTCTAATCCTTTCAAATAGAGCCACCAGAATCCCTGGTGACGAAGCATTTGAATATATGAACGTATGTTGGCCATTCTTATTCAAACTACCACAGTGGTTTTAAACTCAAAAGATTCTCTTGCCTTTGTGTCCCAAGAGCTGGGATTATAGGCATGTACCTTCATGCTTTTCTTGAAACTTAAAAAAAAAAAAAAGTATTTATTTAATTACTTATGGACGTGGACATCCATGGACAACGTAAGGAGTCAGCTCCTTCCCTCTACTGTGTGGGCCCCAGGGGTTGAACTCAGGTCAGCAGGCATGGGAGAAAGTATTTCTCCCTTCTGAGCCGGCACAGCACCTCTACCCTTCCCTTACTCCCATGAGCCTTTGCAGCTGCCGTTGCTCACAGGCTGTTTTCAGCACCCTGGCTCTTGTCAGGCTTTGGAGTCAGGCCAGGTCTCAGAGCTCACTGCCACTCATAAGGTCACAGCCTTAAGCAAGTACTTGCACATCTATGAGTGTCCTTTTCCCAATCTAGAATTGACATCTTCGCTCACGTGTTGTGCTAATAACCAGTCCTTCCTTGGTGGCTCCGGGGGTTTAGCTTCACCGAAGAAATTTGAGCTATGACACCCTGAGGGGGCCGGGTTGTCTTGTTTTTTTTTTTTTAAAGATTTATTTATGTGTATGGGAGTTTTGTCTACATGTATGTCTGTGCATCACATTCATGCCTGGTGCCCGACAAGGCTAGAAGAGGGCAATGGATCCTCTAGAAATGGAGTTACTGATGATTGTGAGCTGCCCTATGGCAGGTGGGAACAGGACCCAGGTTTCTGGAAAAGCAGCCAGTACTATTAACCACTGAGCCATCTCTCTAGACCCCCCTTTTCTAATTGTTCTCCTGTGTGTGGTGGGGGTGGGGACACATGTCACTCACATGAGATCAGAAGAAGACAACTTTGTAGCAACGATTTTCCTTTCAGTGAGTTCAGGGATTGAACAAAGGCAGTCGTTTTGCCCACAGAACCATCTCGCTGCTCCCTTTGGTTTTTGTTGAGGCAGTCTTGGATCTCTTGTGGCCCCTAGCTGGCCTCTGATTCACTACTAAACAGCCCTCAGCTCTTTATCTTCCTGCGACTTCCTTCTGGAGCTGGAGGCTGTTGCCCTAGCTGGCATCTTTTTAACACAGATCCCAAGACGGCCTGCAGCTGCCAGCAGCAGCCGGAGAACCCTCGAATGTCTCTGACTGGAGCCTTCAACAAGGAGAGGGTGGATGTGAGACCCAGGGGTCTTGTCAGAACTTAACTTTGACTATCTGGATTTAAAGAGAAGGCTTAAGAGTTTCCTTAGCATGGATTCCAGCTCTTTTCCTTCAGGCCAGTACTCAACAGCTCTGCAAGTGGCCTCTTTTCCCTGTTGTCTGCTAAGACAGTGTGGAGCCTCAGGCTGTTGGCGCTAACAGGACTCTTGGAGTTGTTTTGTCCATAATGCACAGATGAAAGAAACTGCCCATGGGGCTAGTTGGTGGTGGTTCTGAAGCCAGAAACCCCATCTCCTGACTTGTTTCCCTTGCACATCGGAGCAGGAAGGATTGTTCATGGTCCACTGAACCAGTCAGAAATGTTGCCTGTACAGTCCAGACCTGAGAGATCACGGACAAGTCCCTGCCAGCTTCCCATGGGCGCCTGAGAGCACTATGTGGGGGAATGGCAATATTCTCAGACCTTGCAATCTTCTCTGGACCGATTTCTCCTCAGTTTTTCCTGAAAGCAACCTGCACAAAGCTGGACCAGGCTTTCCAGCTGAGTATGTCAGCCCCTCCGGAAGACCCTGGGGAAATTAGCTTCCTCCTTGTTTATTCTCAGGCTAATTAGTGAAGGTGTTGCACTGACTCAGTCTTCTGAGGCTGGGGTTAGGCAAAGTGATGCTATCTGTGGATGGTTAGAGAAGGGAGCCCTTTCCTTTGTCTACCCTTTTGTTAAGGAACCTCTGTCTCCTTTACTGCTGACTATCCGCTCTGAGACCATGGGCGGGACCTGTGGGGAGGGAGGGAGTGTGTGTGTGTGTGTGTGTGTGTGTGTGTGTGTGTGTGTGTGTGCATGAGTGCGTGGGTTCCTGCTTCCTATATGCATATTCTTTTTCCTCTCTGAATTTCAGGGTCATGCTGTGGCAACCTGGCGCCTGACAGGTGAGGAAGAGCCTGCCAGGGGATTCGCGCTGGCAGGAGCCAAGGGCTGGACAGCTTCCTCACACCGGAAGCAGGGGTGGGCAGGACAGCTGCCTTGCCAAGGCCAGCAGTCCCAGGAAGGAGTCTGCTGACCCACATGGCTTAGACGCAGCACCTTGCTGAGCAGCAGCTGGTCCCAGCTCCAGAGGACCACCCACCCACCTCCAGCAGGAGTAGGTGCTCTGTGACCCCCCCTGTGCAACGGCAGCTGGGGCTGCCATAACCAGGAGAGAGGACCAACCAGCCCGGCTGATGGGAAGCAGCAGAACAGAAGCCGTGGAGGGAGAGGAGGGCCTTGGTTTTTACGGCAGTTTCCTGATGCCCATGATTGGTTTTCTTTCTGGCCTCAGGAGGGGCTCCTTTCCCCTGGCCGAGGAGTTGGGCCTGGAGGGCCTGCGAGCGTGAAGAGGACTCGTGCATGGAATGCAGGCCCCCTGAAGCCCGTGTTCTCACTGCTGCTGAGATCAGAGTTCCAGGACTTCCCCACGGCAGGGGAGGAGGGGCTGCCTCCGTGTCTGCTCATGAGCCACAAGGACCCCGACTGCTCCAGACTGGACCTTTTCAAGCCGCCAAAGAGGGGAGTCCCTGGAGCTGGCCGCCAGCAGTCACAAGGGACTAGAGGGCTGGGATGGACTGACCGCTGCCTTGACAGGGTGGCAGGAGAAGCAGAGCCTCTGTGGCCCAGCTAGTGACTGAGAGACCCGATGAAGCCTTAAGGGGAGGCTCCAGTGGCTCAGGGACGGGGGGGAGGGAGGGGGGCGACTCCTGCGGACGTGCTTTCTCCTTCTTTTGAGGGAGGGTGTGACAAGAGTCCCCTGCCACACCTCGTGCCCCTATGCCCTTTATACGGGCTGCCGACACAAGCAGGCTGCACCGTGGCTGGCCCCACAGTAGGCTGGGAAAGGACTGGCCACGGTGACGGCTGCCCCGTGGCCAGCACGATGAAGTGCTCCCTGCGGGTGTGGTTCCTCTCTATGGCCTTCCTGCTGGTGTTCATCATGTCCCTGCTCTTCACCTACTCACACCACAGCATGGCCACCTTGCCCTACCTGGACTCGGGGGCCCTGGGTGGAACACACCGGGTGAAGCTGGTGCCAGGCTATACGGGACTCCAGCGCCTTGGCAAGGAGGGCCTTCCGGGGAAGAGCTGCGCCTGCCGTCGCTGCATGGGCGACGCCGGCACCTCTGACTGGTTTGACAGCCACTTTGACAGTCACATCTCACCGGTCTGGACCAGGGATAACATGAATCTGCCCCCGGATGTCCAGAGGTGGTGGATGGTAAGAACCGTGACCCCTTTGGCTTTCCTTTCGCTGCCTCTTTTCCAGAGTCGGTTCATTTGGGAGCCGCTCTGACAGCCCCCGTTTGGACTATCTCTTGACTCCCAGCATCCTGACCGAGTGGGAAGCCCGTCTGGTCTGAGCCGAAGACCCGGATCAGATTGCTAACAGGCAGGGTGAGCTTTGACCTGGAAGGAGAGAGAACTACTATTTGTGGTGCTTGTAGGAGTCCAGTGTACATCCCCCCACCCCCCCCAAAAAAATGCTGTTGGCCTAGGTAGGCAGCACAAATGGCAAGAGCAGTCCCCATGCCGTAGACAGAGGCCTTCCTGGGAGGGGGCAGATGCAGCATGCTACCCTGCCAGCAGGCAGCTCGTGCCACTCCCTCCTCCAACTTCTTACTTTTCCAAAATCGTTATTATTTATGGTGTGTGTGTGTGTGTGTGTGTGTGTGTGTGTGTGTGTGTGTACATGTGTACACGTGTGATGTAGTGGTTGATGTATGGGTGCCACAGTGGACATGTGGCGATCCAAGAACAACTTTGTGGGGTTTACATGGGTTCCAGGGATTGAACTCAGATTGCCGGGCTGTACAGTGAGCACCCTTCCTCGATGAATCACCTTGCCTGCCTCCCTCCAACCTCTTATCAGACTCCAGAAGCCTGGTTTTATATGCACAGCGTATATACATGCTTTTGACATTTTTTTTTTTTTAAATTTTGGTATGTGAATGGATGTTCTGTGTGCATGTATGTCTGTGTACCGCTTGCGTACCTGGTGCCCTCAGAGGCCAGAAGAGGGCTTTGGATCCCCTGGAACTGGAGTTACAGACATTTGTGAGGCACCACATGGGTGCTGGGAATTGAACCTGGGGCCTCTGGAAGAGCAGCCAGTGCTCTTAACCGCTGAGCCATCTCTCCAGTCCTTACGTGTGCTGTGCATGTTTTCTGTGTGTGTGAGCTGCAGGATGATGTTTGTGGAAGCCAGAGGTTGGGAAGTATCTGACTCAGTCACCATCTACCTTTTTGTTGTTGTTACTATTGTTCTTTTTTGAGGCAGGGTCTCCTGTGTAAGCCTGGCTGTTCTGGAACTCATCTGTAGACCAGGCTAGTCTTAAACTCATAGAGATCTGCCTGCCTCTGCCTCCCAAGTGCTGGCATTAAAGGTGTGTGCCACTGCACTGGCCAGCCTCCTTTTTTTTTTTTTTTTTTTTTTTTTTTTTAAATAGTGCCTTGCTGAATCTGGAGCTCAAAGATTTGGTTAAGCTGGCCAGTCAGTGGGAGTCCAGATTTCTGCCTGTCCACACACCACCAGCATCGGTTACAGACGTGCATGGTCCCATCTGGCTTTTACTTAGGTGCGAGGAATCCGAACTCAGGTTTTTATTGTTTGCACGACATGGACTTTTTACTGAGTTATCTCCCTGGTCCAGAAGCATGGATTTTGTTTTATTTTTGTTTTTTGTCAAAGGGTTTCTTTGTGTAGCCCTGGCTTTCCTGAAACTCACTTTGAATACCAGGCTGGCCTAGAACTCAGAGAGATCCACCTGCCTCTGCCTCCCAAGTGCTGGGATTAAAGGCGTGTGCCACCACTGCCCAGCCAGAAATATGGATTGTAAGACTGAATATCCTATTGGTAAATGTTGGCTCGGAGTAATTATAAACGCTTCAAGAGTCATCTTTGGTTCTTTGCAGTTGCTGGAGAAAATTGCTTTGGTCTGGGAGAGAACAATGTAAACCTCAGCTGCTAAGGGAGAGGGAGGCAGAGGAGCCCCAGAAGGGCCGATGCCAGGTCCACTCCTGTTTTCCTAGGTCCCAGACCTTTTTGTTTTTCATATCCTCCACCCTGCCCCCATCATCTCTGGAGCATCACTTCCCAGGTTCTACAGGGCCATCTGGTTGCCTCCTGGGCCAAGAATGGAGCCTGTAGGCTGCCTGCTTTCCCTGGCATGGGGAGTCATTTCCTGTCCCTGTTCCTCCAGCCAGCATGGGAACAAGATGACTCTCCTCTCCTTTTTCAGAGATATGAGGATATATGACCACACTTATCAAGACAGCTGTGCAGAATCTGTTCATTGGCCCAGACTGTTAAGATTCCTCCAAGACATAGACCCTTCTTGTAGCAGAGTCCTGCCTGCCACTCACAACTACAGTCTTTTTTTTTTTTCCCCAAGACAGGATTTCTCCATGTAGTTTTGGTGCCTGTCCTGGAACTCATTCTGTAGACCAGACTGACCTCGAATTCCAGAGATCCACCTGCCTCTGCCTCCTGAGTGCTGGGATTAAAGGCGTGCGCCACCACCACCTGGCTATTAGTCTTTGTTTTATGGAGAAAATAAAGGTTCAAAAAGTGCTCAGTATCTGCCTGCCATTGTAGTCTCAGGGGTGGCCTTGTAGACCAAGACTCTGAGCTGGGGTGGATTCCTAGGGGACTAGACAGGCCTCCGGTCACAGGGATGGAAGTCAGAGGCTGTTTTAGGTGCTATGTTCCTCAATCCACACTTCTCCCTGTTACCCACCATCATCCCCTTTGGCCATAAAGTTGAGAATTCTTGTCTCAGAGCTTCTGCTCCAAAGAAGACTTTGGTCCCAGGAGCAGGTCCACAAACCCACGGGACTACGACTCAGTCTACAGCAATGTAGACCAGGCTCAAAGAGATCCGCCTGCCTCTGCCTCCCGAGGCCTGGGATCAAAGATGTGTGCCACCACTACTACCTGGCTGCTGGCTGGATTTTTAAAACTTCTCTCTCTCTCTCTCTCTCTCTTTCTCTCTCTCTCTCTCTCTCTCTCTCTCTCTCTCTCTCTCTCTCTCTCTGTGTGTGTGTGTATGTATGGGCATGTGTGTGTCACATCACATGTGTGGAGATCAGAATCAATTTTCTCCAACTGTGTGGATCCTAGGACTTGAATATTGGTCATCAAGCCTAGCAGCAAGTACCCTCACCTCCTAAGACATCTCACTGGCCCATGGATTTCTTTCTTTTTTTTTTTGGTAGGCATATAATTTTTTGTTTGCTGTGGGCCCCACCTCCTGTGTTCCTGTGCATCATCTGCCTGGCCCCACTGAGCATGGAACTCTGCTGGGGTATGGTGGTATACATCTATTATCCCGGCACTCGGGAGGTTGAGGCAAGAGGACCTCTGTGTGGTCAGAGCCAGCCAGTGTTACACAGGAGCTTAGAACCAGCCTGGACTACATACTGAAACCTTGTCTCTAACAAAACACGATCCTTAGGAGGTGGAGACGGAAGGATCCGGAGTTCAAAGCTAACCTCTGCTACATGGAGTCTTTGTTGATCATTAGCAGTTTGGGTTCCAGCTCTGGATAAGGGGCAGAGGGAACCAGTTTTCTTCCAACCACCGGCCTTTGAAGGAACTTATGTATTTTTTTTCTTTCTTTTTCCTTTCTTTCTTTTTCTTTTATGAGCTCCCTGTGTTTCCCAGAGGGTTCAGAGTGGCTACAGACAAGTCCCACAGGTGCCCCCCAAAAGACAGATTGGAAAAGAACCCCCAAGGACATTGCTCTGCTTTATGACCCAGGCCTACAAGCCCCTCCAAAATGCCTCAAATAGCACTTTGACACCCAGCTCCCATCCCAAGTCTCTCTAGAACACTGGGGGAGCAGCCCATGATTGGCAGGGTGCTGGGTATTGGTCTCTCAATAGTGAGACTCACTGGGAACCAAGACTTCGCTACCATTGACAGAGGAGTAGTTCTTCAATGCCCGGGGAGGGGCTCCCAGAGAGCCCTGGGCAAGGAGGTCTGTGTGGCTCTGACTGGAGGGGCGGTTTGAAGGGTGAGTCTCTCTATCCTCACAGCCATCTCCCTTGCCCAGATGCTGCAACCCCAGTTCAAGTCACACAACACCAATGAGGTGCTGGAGAAGCTGTTCCAGATCGTGCCTGGCGAGAACCCCTACCGCTTCCGGGACCCTCAACAGTGCCGGCGATGTGCTGTGGTTGGAAACTCAGGCAACCTCCGGGGCTCTGGCTATGGGCGAGATGTGGACGGACACAACTTTATCATGAGGTGAGCCTTAGAGAACCAGGCAGGGAGCGGGGAAGACAGTCCATGAAGCGTCCTTGGGGTACCAGAGAGGACACCTTGCAGGAGTCCCTCCACCACCTGGGTCCCACAGATTAAACTCAGATTTTCAGGCTTGGTGACAAGTTCTTTTACCCCCTGACGCCATCTTGCCAGTCTTCTTTGCCCTTTTCTGATAGGCTACAAGTGCAAGTGCCCAACCAGTGTGCTAAGGGACACCAGCACCCAGAGGGCTCAGTGCATAGGCTTGGTCTCACCCTAGTTTTTCAAGGTTGGTGGAGAAAGTGTTCAAAATATAAATTCTGGGGGCTGGAGAGGAGGCTCCGTGTAAGAGCGCTTGCTGTCCTTGCAGAGGACCAGAATCTGGTCCCCAGCACCTTATAGCAGCTCAGAGTCGTCTGCGACTCTAGTTTCATGGAACCCAGTACTCCAGGGGCATGGCACATAATTGTTACATATACGTACATGTAGGCAAAACACAAAATAAAAATAAATATTTTTTTGAAACCCACAAAATATATATTTGGGAGGCTAGAGATGTAGCTCAGTTGCCTGGCACGCACAAAACTCTGGGATTAATCCTGAACACTGCACATGCCAGGCTCTGTGGTATATACTCCTACCTCTCCTTTTGGTGTCAGGAGAACCTTAGTAAAGTTGCTAGGACTGGAGAGACAGCTCAGCAGTTAAGAATACATACCGCTCCCGCAGAGGACCCAAGTTCAGTTCCTGGTACCCATGTCACATGACGTACCTGCTAGTGACTCAGTACCAGGGCATCTGGCACCTCTGGCTCCACGGGCACCTGTATTCTCTCATACACACCTACACCCAAATAAAATTAAAAGTAATAATGAATATTTTTAACAGAACTGTTACTGGCAGGAGGTATTTCTACTGTCCTTGCAGTACACTAAATCAACTTGTCTCTAAAAGAGGGTGAGGTGGGCATGGTAGCACACGTTTATGAACCTCAGCTTTCTGGAGGCTGAGGCTAAAGAGCCCAAGTTCAAGGCCTTGACTGCCATAGTTTTTTAAGTCCAAGTTCCTGGCTTAAAAAACATCTCAGAGCTAGGCACAGTAGCCCACACCTGTAATCCAAACACTCGGAAGGCAGAAACAGGTGGGTCTCTGAGTTTGAAACAGCCTTGGCTACATAGTGAGACCCTGTCTCAGAAAAACCCCAAAGCCCCATGCTGGGGATACTGATAGTTGGTAGAGTGCTTGCCTAGGATATACAAGGCTCTGGGTTTGAGCCGCAGCACTGCGTAGGCTAGGTGTGGCGGCACCCCTGTATAGAGGTAGAAAGATAAAGAAGTTCGTGTTCATCTTTGGCTACCTAGTAAGTTCAAAGCCAATCTGGGATACACGAGCCCTTCCCTGTCTCTGTCTCAAAAATAAAAGTAAAAGCCAGGCATCGGTGGTGCACGCCTTTAATCCCAGCACTTGGGAGGCAGAGCCAGGCAGATCTCTGTGAGTTCGAGGCCAGCCTAGTCTACAGAGCAAGATCCAGAACAAGCACCAAAACTACACAGAGAAACCTTGTCTCGAAAAACCAAAAATAAAATTTAAAAAAATGTAAATAGGGTTGGGGAGATGGTTCCGGTTGTAAAGTGCTTGTTATGCAAGCACGTGTACTAGAGTTCAGGTATAATTGCACCCATGTCAAAGCTGGGTATTGCAGCATGCACCCGTACCCCAGTGCTGGTGGGATTGGGATTGGTAGACCCCAGGGGCCTTGCTGGTCAGTCAGTCTAGCCAAAATGATAAGTTCAAGTTTCAAGGAGAAACCCTGTCTAAAAAAAATGAGGTGAGAACTGGGGAGATAGCTCAGTTGATAAAAAGCACTTGTTGGCCAACCCTGACGACCTCAGTTTGGATTCTCAGAGCCCATAAGAAGAGCCAGGTGCTGTAGCATAGGCTTCTCTAGTCCCCGTGCTCAGGAGCTGAGGGGCAGAGACTTAAGCACCCCTTGTCCCAGCCGGAACAGTGGCCAGGAGACCCTGTCTCAAGGAGGAAAGGTGAGGACTGACACCCAGACTCTGCTCTCTGACTTCCACACGTGTACCGCGGCATGTGGACACCCCCACACAAACAAGCACACACAGCTAAATCAAGCAGAAAGCAAGAGAGGAAGACTCCCGTCTTGTAGCCTCTCCTCTAGTCTTCAACTCCGAGCCTCTACACGCACAGGTGAGTGCGCACACACAGGAGTGAATGAATAAAGAAAATACCGAGACGCCGGATTTCTACTAAGCATCTCCTAGGATGAGCATTGCAGAAAGACCAGATTTCCCAGGAGGCAGAAGGCCTTTGTCTTAGACACTGTTGCTGTCTCCATAGCAACACCAACACAGCAATATGTCTCTGAGGATTTCCATAATTTTTTTTTTTTTTTTGGATGATGAGAAATGGTGATGGATAGGGAGACAGGAGAATACTGAGTTCCACCCAGAACTCCACATCGTCCATTGCTGGCACTTTAAAGGGAGGGAAGCCGGAAGCGGGTGAAAGAACTCTCTCTACTGAGGCTTCTGTTGCTTCTCTTCAGCCCTGGCGTACTTGAAAAGTCCAAAGCAGCTCTCAGATGCTCTGGGCAACTCTATCATTAGTTTCCTGGGTGATGATTGGGAAGCCCCAGGGGTCAAAGCCTGCAGCTCCGAAAGCTGTGGCTACTTATGACATGGGTGTCCTAGCTGCAGACACATCCACAGATTCTCCTTCACATGAGGCAAGGTCACGATGTGGTGTTTGGCGTGGGCCCTAGAACTTCCTTGGAGAAAGGGTGACCTGGATGGTAGTTGACTGTCCGGGGTCTATATAATGAGCCAGATGGCAGCAGAGGCGGCTGCTTGCAGACCTCTCTTGACTTGGAACCAACAAGGGAGGCCTTCCATCCCAGAATCAGGGAGAGCATTGCAGTGAAGTAGAGCTCGAGCATCCTCTCTGTCCTCGCACCTCCAGCTGTCTCCGCCTGTAAATTCTCTAATCTTAGTTGATGGCTGGAATGGGGGTCTCATCTTGCCGACACATCACTAGCCAGCAGATACATCCAGTTCCTAGCCTTGCCTGGGGATAGAAGACATGCTGTAAGTGTAAATGAAAGGGATGAGAGAGCCGGATACTGTGTGCTCTAAGTAAAGTTGAATCCACCCTGCCCAGCGTTTCTTTGGCTGCTGAAGGCAGCGAGGAACAGATAGGTTTCTGGAATGCGTGGCTGCGTGTCCCAGAGATCCATGTCATCCTCTGGCCCCTTTCCAGGGCATGACTTATCTAGAATGAATCAGCCTCCAAAAGAGTGCCACGTTTCTTCCCGTTCCCGTGGAGGCTATGAAACATCTTGGACGTTACTTTGCAGCTTCATTCCCAGTCCCTTGCTGTCTGGGGCCTGGCGTGGCATGAAGGAAGCGCAGGGCTGAGGAGTAGACGGTCTCACTATTAGGTCTTAAGAGAGCCTTCTTGAGACCTCCAGCTCCTGTACAGTGGAGAAAGCAGGCAGTGGGCCTTTAGAAGCCAGCCTGGGGCAGCCTTAGCCCCCATCACACAAAATAATAAGTTTCACTGCGATACTTTCCTATGTGTATGTAATTTATTTTGATCATAGTCGGCTGCTGTTGCTTTCTCTTGCTCCACCCCCCACCCCCCCAGAACTCTGCTGCCTCCTTCCAGGTTGTCCTTCTTTCAAAACTTTTTCTCTCAAATGAGATAATCGCGACCTTTTGATCTTCAGAGCTTTGGTGTTTTAGTCTCTGGTAAGATGAAGTTTGCTTCTTAGGTCCTCACAAGGGTCAGTCTGGATCCCAGCACCAGCCCAGCTCAGCCTCCATGTCCTTCTTGGCTTTTCCATCATCCACAGGCAACTGGGATTCTTCCCTACCTTCTCCGACACTTCTGCTGCTGGGAGAGAAGCAGGAGGCGAACAGCAGAGGTGCCCTGTGGCAAAGGAAGTCCCCACCCAGCTCATGGTGTCAGCCACTCTGACAGGGGACGTTTGTACTGGGTTCACAGAGCTGGCATGAAGGCTAGGGAGGTACCTGGAGACTGTTCCTCCCCCCTGGGTCCCCGTGCCATAGTGAAGGAGCAGAGCTTATGGCCACCCTACTGTGGTAGTAATGATGCTGCAGAGTGTTCCATCCCCAGGAGACAGAAATGCCCACAGAAACAGTCAGCAGAAAACAAAGACCAGCAAGCTCATGCTTAGAGCTATTTCAACTGTGGGGGAAGATGTTCACCAAAATGGAAGCCTTACCTGGACTTAGTGGTACACATCTGTAATCCCAGCACTTGGAGGGTAGATGCTGGAGGGTCAGGAGTTAAAGGCCAAGTTAGGTCCATAGTAAATTTAAGGCCAGTCTGGGCTGTATGAGATCCTGTCTCAAAAAAGAACAAAAGACTCAGGGTCCTTTCCACCACTTGGATGTTTCGATGAATAGTGTTGGATTTGTTGCCAGCATATAAAATTTATTCCTCTCTGATACATAAATGGTATTCAGTTGATGAATGGACAAAATGGAACCACCAGTCCTTTGATTAATGGAATGGTCTTATCTTTACTTAAGCAACTATTGCCTAGTCAAAGTGTACATCATTTTATACATTTTTTTTTGAGACAGGTATCACTCTGTAGCCCAGGATGTCCTCAAATGTATGGCAATCCTCCTGCCTCAGCTTCTTGAGTGCTGGGACTATAGGCATGAGCCATCATGTCCAGCTTCCATTTCCATTTTTGGTGAGTGCCACATTATCCTCTAAAACACATGTACCACTTTCCATGGTAGTTCCTCTTCATATTACCCCCTTTTTTTCTTCAGGATGAATCAGGCACCAACTGTGGGCTTTGAGAAGGATGTTGGCAGCCGAACAACCCACCATTTCATGTACCCCGAGAGTGCCAAGAACCTGCCTGCCAACGTCAGCTTCGTGTTGGTACCCTTCAAGGCCCTGGACCTCATGTGGATTGCCAGTGCCCTCTCTACAGGACAGATCCGATTGTGAGCCTCTTTGCTGGCTGAGTAGAATATGACATGGGTTACATTAGTGAGAAGGGAGGGCTCAAAATGGGAATTAGCTGAGGGCACAGCTTATTCTGAAACCCCCAGTTTGCACTGGTCTCTCCAGGAGGCAGCTCTGCACTGTGGCGCTCTTTTCTCTGGTAACTGTCTCTGGGATTGTAACCCCATCCTACCTGGGAACCCTGGGCAATCCATGTCACTGAGGGGTCTCTTATTGTTGTTCTTATGATTTTATTTATTTTAACTTTTGAGACAAGGTCTTGATAAGTCACTAAAAAAGAAAAAGAAAAAAAAACTGGCCTTAATCTTGCTCTGCAGCTGAAGCAGACCTTGAATTTGTGATCCTCCTGCCTCAGCTTCCCTGGTAGCTAGGATTACAGGTCTTTGTCACACTTCTGGCTTACCAAAGGTTTGGTGGGGTTTGTTGTTTGTTTAATTTTTTAATATGTATACATTTATTTTATGTGTATGTGACTGAGTGTATATGTGTGCACCACATGTATGCAGGAGCCCAAGGAGGTTGAAGGAGTGTCCTGGAACTGGAGTTCCAGGGTGTGGGTGCTAGGAACTAAACTTGGTTCCTCTGCAAGTTTCAGCTGAGTCAACTCTCCAGTCCCATGCTTTTTCTGGTTTATTTGTGTGTGTGTTTCTTGAGGCAGGGTTTCATGTAGCCAAGGCTGGCTTTGAACTACTTTTCCTGCCTCCACCTCTACAATTCTTGGATACAGGGATATGCCACTATACCTACCTACCAATTCTTAAAAACAAAATAAAAAATTAGATGTATTTATTTTAGAAGTATGAACGTTTGCCTGCACGTATATATGTGGTTACCATGTGTGTGCCTGGTACCTGAGTAGGTCAGAAGTGGTGTGAACATGACGCCTGAGTTCTGTCCCCAAGACCCACATGGTAGAAGTTGAGAACCCATTCTCTCTGACGTGTATGCTGTGGTGCTTGTGTACCTTCCTCACACAAATAAATAAAAGTAACTAAAATTTTCAAAAGAAGTGTACTAACCAATAACATTTTGACGAATTCAGATACTGTAAATGTGACAATTAATTTTAGAATGTCTTTATGTTCTAAAGGTCTTTGATCTAGTAATACCCCCAATAACCCAATCATCTTATCCCTAGCCCTAAATAACCACTTACTTGGTCTATTCTGCCTCACCTTGTACTTTTTGTTTTTTTTAACAGATCTTGCCCCAAGTTTATTTGTAAAAAACAGAATAGGCCACTGATCATCTGCAAATAGTGTGTAGGTGTGTCATACCAGTCCCTCTGTCTTCACATTAGCAGACAGAAACCTTTTCTATGGGGCCTTCACAGGGGCCTGGGCACCTTTGGGAGCCCGAGCTGGAGCTGTGGCCTCTGCCTTGGTTTGAACCTTGGGCTTTGGTTGGCAGAGCCTACGACCCTTGGCCATGTAGCTTCTAATCCTCTTCCCAAGCTCGGGGTGAGCGATGAAAGCAACATGGCTGAGTTTGCGGTTGGGGTCCTGCGGCATCTTGGGCTTAACCACCTTGGGCTTCCCAGGGCCTGATGGCCTCTGCACGCGTACCCATTGCCTTTGAATTGTTTGCCTTCATCTTCTTCAGACCTTTCTTGTTGTGCTTCTTGGCAAAGCGCATGTTCCTCAGGAACTTGGGGTCGACCCCTTTAAGAGATCTGTATCTTTGTGACTGGGGTTTCTTTTTTTCTTTTCTTTTCTTTTTTTTTTTTTTTTTTGAGACGGGGTTTCTCTGAGTAGTTTTGGTGCCTATCCTGGATCTTGCTCTGTAGAGTTCGAGGCCAGCCTGGTCTACAGAGTGAGTTCCAGGACAGCCAGGTCTGTTATATAGAGAAACTCTGTCTCAAAAAAAAAAAACCCAAAAAACAAAACAAAACAACAACAACAACAAAAACCTCACCTGCTGCTTTTGCAGAGGAGCCAGGTTCAGTTCCCAGCACCCATATTGTGGCTCACAACCACCCATAACTCCAGTTCCAGGGGACCCAACTCCCTCTTCTGTCCTTCAAAGGTGCCAGGCATACATGTGGTGTACATACATACATGGAGACATACACATTAAAAATAAAACTAAATTTTTTTAAATAGTAAGAAGGCTGTGAGTACAACTCTGAGACAGCATTTCTCTATGTAACAGCTCTGTCTCTAAAAACAAACAAAAGACGAGAGAGAGAGAGAGAGAGAGAGAGAGAGAGAGAGAGAGAGAGAGAGAGAGAGAGAGAGAGGCGGGGGTGGGTGGGTGGGTGGGAAATTAGAGTCTCTCACTCCAGGATGTCCATTGCTTCATCTGGGGGAAAGGAGGGCTGTAGTGCTGAAGTGCCTGGGTTCTCAGTGGAGGCGTCAGTTACAGGAGCCACACCAGCCAAGCAGGAAACTGGGTTTGGCCCAAGCCTGAGGACAGCAGAGAAAGTCACTCTAGACAGAGGTCACTTGTATAAACATGGTGTCCTAGCTAGGGTGACTACTGCTGTGATGAAACACTGTGACCAAAGCAACTTGAGGAAACGGTTTGTTTGGCTTCCACTTCCACATCACCGTTCATCACTGAAGGAAGTCAGGACAGGAACCTGGAGGCAGGAACTGAAGCAAAGACTGGAAAAATGCGGCTTACTGACTTGCTCCTTATGGCTTGCTCAGCCTACTTTCTTCCTTCATCTGTTTGTTTTTTTGAAACAGGGTTTCTCTGTGTAGCCCTGGCTGTCCTGGAACTCGCTCTGTAGGCCAGGCTGGCCTCGAACCACAGAGATCTGCCTGCCTCTACCTCCCAAGTGCTGGGATTTCTTATAGAACCACAATGGGCTGGGCCCTCTTACCCCAATCACTAATTGAGAAAATGCCCTGTAGCCCAATCTTACACAGACATCTTCTCAACTCAGATTCCTCCTCTTAGGCGCCTCTAGCTTGTGTCAGCTGACAGAAAAACGAGCCGGGACACATGGTGAGTGTGAGATGATTAGCTAATCCAAGTGTAGAGTTCCCCAGCAAACAGCTTAGGGGAGAAAGATTGAGATTGGCGATCCCTAGGCTTGACTAGACGATCCCAATTTTATCCTGAAAGCCGCTGAAGGGTTCTGATGAAGCTCCTGCAGTGATGAACATGCAATGGAAAGAGATCAGTCTAGAAATCATGAGGCTGTCACCGTTTGGTCTTAAGGAGCAGAAGAGGTGTTGCTGGCTCCTGGAGAGCCATCTGAAACGGTTGTTTTGTTTTGTTTTCTGTCTTCTTGCAGCACCTACGCTCCAGTGAAATCCTTCCTTCGGGTGGACAAAGAAAAGGTAAGTTCCCTACCTCTTCCTCTTGACCCCCCCCCCCCCCACTATGGAATGATGCTGCCTCACTCAAGGTGTGCCCAGTTCTATGGCTCAGCACTGGCATAGTGCCCTTCCAAGACCATCCAAATCTGCATCTGCTGGCATGCCTGACTCCAGCACTGACCGCAGGAACCTAGGAAAACCCATGTGTAGCACTACTGAGGAATTGCCAGAAGCCGCTCAGAGCCTGACCTGCGTCTCTAGGCCTCCAAACGCCTCATGTGCCTCTTGTTTTCCTCCCAGGTCCAGATTTACAATCCAGCCTTCTTCAAGTACATCCATGACAGGTGGACAGAGCATCATGGACGGTACCCTTCCACAGGGATGCTGGTGCTCTTCTTTGCACTACATGTGTGTGATGAGGTAGGTAGTTGGTGCCAGTTTTAAGAAGTAGCAGAACTGAAAACAGGGACACAGCCCTTTTCCCATCTTAGCAGTGACCCTGGGGACGTGGATTAGGATTTCTCATATCTGTACTACAAACAGTATATTTGCAGTTCCCAATCTTTATCACCTTTTTGACTTTAATAAAATTACTTAGCCGGGCGTGGTGGCACTCCCCTTTAATCCCAGCACTCAGGAGGCAGAGGCAGGCAGATCTTGTGGGTTTGATGCCAGCCTGGTCTACAGAGTGAATTCCAGGACAGCCAGGACAACACAGAGAAAACCTGTCTCGAAAAACCTAAATAAATAATAAAATTACTTCATTAAAAAGTTAAATTTATAGCTGGGTCATGGTTGGCACCTGTAATCCCAGCTGTGACGAAGCTGAGGTAGGAGCCATTTGAGGTCAGCCTGGGCTACATAGGACCCTGTTGGAGAAAAGCGAAAAATGAATGAGAAAGAAGCAGCAGCGGTCCCCTCTGAGTCAGTGTCCTTAGGCCTGGCGTGGGTGTCCCCACCCCCACCCCCGCCACGGTCCGGGCTCCCAGTGACCCCAGTGCCACCCTCCCACAGGTGAACGTGTATGGGTTCGGGGCTGACAGCCGAGGCAACTGGCACCACTACTGGGAGAACAACCGGTATGCGGGCGAGTTCCGGAAGACGGGCGTGCACGACGCCGACTTCGAAGCCCACATCATTGACATGCTGGCCAAGGCCAGTAAGATCGAGGTCTACCGAGGGAACTGAGCTGCCCACGGAGACATCAGGACCAGTCAAACCTCGGTCCGGCGAGCACAGGGTGCCGCCCACCAATCAGACTCTGCACCATTTCCCGCAACCAATCAGTGTTGCCGTTGGGCGGAGCTTCTTTCTCAGCCAATCATGCGACTCAAGGAGAACTTCCGGCGCCGCCGTCTCCACCAATCATGGCCTTGGGAGGCGGCGGGGCCTCGACCCCCCTCCCCCTCCTCTGCTTTGGATAAGAGTTTCTTTTCCACCTTTTAGGAGGCCAGTGCTGGGCCTGGGCAGGAGTGCCTTGGACTGCTCATTTCCAGCTTAGGCCCGGATGGGAGAGTGGAGCCCGCCAAAGAAATATGGTCGCGGTGAGACCCTCTCCAGGGCATTCCGTGGCTCACCAGGTAGTAGGGGATTAGATTCACTCCCAGCAAGGTGGACCTCCCTAGGGCTTCACTCCTTAACTAGTGTCAGCAAGGGGTAGGAAGCTCCACTGGGTCACATGCAAGGTGCTTCTCTCACGTGTGCCCTCACTTCTACTATCCCCCCCCACCACCACCTTCTCAGCGTCTGACCTTTGGCCCTGGGCTTTCTCTCCAGCTCACCCGTTGATCTGGAGACAAAATGACACGGCCGGGACCCTGCTGCTCACTCTCTCTCACTCTCACTCTCTCTCTCTTTCTCTCTTTCTTTCTTTCTCTCTCTCTCTCTCTCTCTCTCTCTCTCTCTCTCTCTCTCTCTCTCTCTCTCTCACACACACACACACACACACACACACACACACACACACACACACACACAGCCCTTATGTCTAAGGCGAGAGCAGCGCAGTGGACATCAGGCTGGAGAGGAGAGCCCAGCTGCCTGTGCATGTACCTTTTTCTTTCATTGTTACCCCAAAGAGGAGCAGGCAGCCTCTTGCTTGGGGGTCGGAATTGCTTTGGGCTCATACTTTAGTTACCCTGAAGCTGCCAGGGATGGCTGCCCAACCAAGATTGCCTGACAATTCTTTGCCAGCCTTGCCGATGGCCTGGAGCTTTGCTGGGGAGGAGCGGATTGGTGACTGCCATGCATGCCTCCTCCTGTCCGCACCTTAACCTGCTTACTCGCCCGATCTAACCCACTTTCCAGCTCCTAAAGGGCTGGTGAGTAGAGTCAGGGGCTACAACTGGAAGCTACTTGCATGACTCGACCCCAAGTCAAGGTTGAGATTCAGTGGGCTTCAGGGAATGTCTCAGGCCATAGGAAAGTACTCCCCCTTCCTTGCAGTGTCCACATAAATATTTTCCATTCTTAATAAGTTGACATTACCAAGCAGCCTCCTGGTTGGGGGACAGTCACCCACAAGGGATAGTATTAGTGGGTGGGGATGAGTCAGCAAGTACCCCTAAAAACTAATACATTGAGAACTTTTCTTGAATCTGTTCCTTCCCAGTTCCAAAAGCAGGGGTGGAGTAAAAGGGGCTACGCTGAGTGGGGTACAGGAGAACCTCTCAGGGCGCTAACCATCTGGCAGTCGAGGCACCAGCCGTTCTGTTCTTGCCTGTCTCATCTCTGCTCTCTCAAGAAGCTGCTGTGATGAGAAGTTGAAAAACAATGCAATCATGCCAAACAGTATTGAGAAGAATAATTTATTTTTCTCCCTTTCCTTCGTTTTGTTCAAACCATTAATCCCCGCCTGGAAGAGGTAGGTCCCAGCACCCAGATCCTTTCTTCTATAGTTATTTAAACATTTACATTTTCCCTTCCATTTCTTTTTCTGAATTAAAAAGAACAAACCCCATGGAGTCACTCATCTGTTCTGAGCTGTACTGTCTTAGGTGTATCTTAGAAGGCACTATACTGGTAAGGATGTTTGGGAGAAGAAAGCAATTCTGATACTCTCTTACACATTAGCCTAGTTCATGGGCTCTGCTCTCGGAAGTCTCCCAAAGGATTATGAGTATTACGTTTCAAAAATCAATTTATTGCACCAGGTGTGGTGGCAGGTGCTTTTAATCCCAGCAGTTGGGAGGCTGAGGCAGGAAAATAACTTAAAGGCTAACCTCAGATACATGGCAAGTTTAAGGCCAGCCTGGGCTACCCAAGAACCTTTCTCAAAAGAAAAAAAAGCGAGCACAAATCAGTTCATTGTCCCCTCTTCAGATTCCTCTAAAAGAGTAAAAGACTTGGGAAGAATTCCTGGCTCACATGAAATGGCCTTTCGTAAATGCAGAGCCTCTACTAGAGGCTCATGTTGGTTCATCTAAGTAGCCATAAAGCTGTCCTTTCCCCATGGGGTGGGTTCCTTCCTGGAGTTCTGTCTTTGGCATTTTCTGCTGACTCCAATCACACTACATCTTTTTGCCAGTGTAACAAGGTGTCATACAGAAGCAGAGTTCTGTGGGAGAACTGCTGGGCAGGCATATAGTGCCTCTCTCGGCTTTGAAATCACTAAGTTGAATAAATGCTTCAACTTCAGTAGGGTACCTGGAAAACTGGGGGAAAATTACTAAAACAGGAGTCAAACTGGATAATTTAAAAACCCCTACAGGGAGTAGGTTTTTTTTTTTTTTTTTTTTTTTTTTGGTTTTTTCGAGACAGGGTTTCTCTGTGTAGCTTTGCGCCTTTCCTGGATCTCGCGCTGTAGACCAGGCTGGCCTCGAACTCACAGAGATCCGCCTGCCTCTGCCTCCCGAGTGCTGGGATTAAAGGCGTGCGCCACCACCGCCCGGCGGGAGTAGGTTTTTAATATACTGTTACATCTTGGATATCTAACAGTTTTGTAGTTGAATTTTTTTCAAGCTTTCTGGTTTCCCTTATTGAAATGTAAGGCTTTTTTAAAAATTCCATTGTTAGCTTTTTTTTTTTTTTTTTCCCTTCCCCAAGACAGGGTTTCTCTGTGTAACAGTCCTGGCTGTCATGGAACTCATTCTGTAGACCAGGCTGGCCTTGAACTAACAGAGACCCACCGGCCTCTGCCTCCTGAGTGCTGGGATTAAAAGCATGCACCACCACCAGCAGCTTATTAGATGACTTTTTACAGCTGTTGTAACTCATTCCTGTAGTCTTCAGGAGGTGGAGGATGTATGCCATTTAACCAAACACTAACAGACACTTCCTTGGTATCTTAGTCCATGGGGTTTGCACTCTTCTGTTATGATGAAGGCTTCTGAGTCTAGGGATAAAGGACTGTCCTTTCTGTTAAAATAGGGGACCAATGTGGAGAGGCTACATTAAGAGTTTTATGTAGAGACAGAACCTATCAGTTATCAGGACTGACACTAGAGTAGCAGTAGAATCAGCTGGGGCCTGGGATGAGAGCCATTTTTACTCCATTATTAGTTCACAGACTATCTGCCTAGCTTTTTTTCCCCCTCAAGACAGGGTTTTTCTGTGTAGCCCTGGCTATCCTAGAACTTGCTGAAACCAGGCCTCGACCTCACAGAGATGCACCTGCCTCTGCCTCCCAAGTGCTGGGATTAAAGACGTGCGACACCACCGCCTGGCTGTCTGCCTTGTGTAGGCTATGTTCTTCATTTTCAGTGTTATCATTTGGGTCCCAGCGGTATTAACTATTGTTCCATTATGCTTTGTGCCTTCTCACCCCCGTTCCCCTTTTCTGAAATATCACAGTGCCCACATGCATATATAAAAACCTTGCTGTCTGGCGCACTACTACCCATCCAAGGTGGACCTTGAATTCATCTCACACACCTGCTCTCCTTTTCACCCTCATTCAAGGGCTGGAACTCTGGCCCATATACACACACCTCTGTCACACTTCACTTTTATGGGCCCAAAATCTCTCACATCCAAAAAAACCATTTAAACACGGTTGTTCTTTCCTTTGATGGAAGAGGGATCTTACTGTTGCATAGGCTAAATCTCTGAATTCTGGGCTCAGGAGATACTACGCTGGCTAGGATAACAGGTGAACACCAACACATCAGGCATCTTAAGATCTGCATGAACGACCAGCCCGAATTCCCAGGGTTGGGATCAAAGGCGTGGACCACCAAGCCTGGAATTTCTGCGGCACTGGGAGGTGGGTGGGTGGGTGGAGGAAGGAGCCGTCTCCATGGGATGCGACCAGAATGGACCTGAACATTCTGCCGGAGGCCAACCTGGGGCCCGGCTGCCAATCCTGTGAAACCCAACAACTTGGAGGTGTTGGTGAGATTGCCCTACTGATCAATGTGTACAGCTGAGATCCATTCAGGAGAGGTTTCAGAAGCCTACAGCCTAAGGAAACAATCAGCTGAGGAGTTGGCGAGTGAGCAAAACACGACCCGAGAATGCAAGAGAAGGAGCCATCCAGCCACTGAACCATATCACCAGAGTCATAAGCCCATCCTACACGGACTGGGAACAGCCATTGGTGCCCCAAAGACCGGACAGCGGCCTCTTTCCCTGCCCCCACACCAAGAAAACCATCCCATGCGACACCAACAACCAATGGAGCCATAAGCCCACCCTGCACCAATTGGGAACAACTGCTCCCTGAGACAGAACCCAGTAACACTGATTGGACTAAGCTGCTCACGGAGAAACAAGAGTCCAACAGCACTGATTTGACCAAGAACTCCTAGTAGACCAAGACTATCAATTAGAACGAGAGGCACCTTCAGACACAGACACTGCCTGCACCGAGCAGAGGAAGAGATGAGTAGACGCCAGTGCAAAAATACAGGCAACAACATAAAGACCTATATGACAACATCAGAACCTAGCGATTCTACACCTGCAGGACCTGAACATTCCAAGGCAGAAAAAGCAGAACAACTCAATCCTAATAATGGCTTCATGAAGATGATAGAGGCCCTTAAAGAGGAAATGAAAAACTCCCTTAAAGAAATGGAAGAAAAAACAAATATCTGCATGAACATAAAAATGTATTACCCACAAATTGACTCTATAGGAAAAATGATTTTGTCTTTGAGACAGGGGCTCTATGTAGCTCTGGCTGTCCTGGAACTCGAGATCTTGCTTCCAGACTGCTGGGATTAAAGGTCATTAGGTCTCTGGGAGTGGGGTATGCCTGACTGACAGGTGCCCAAAGAAAGCAGAGGCATCAGATCCTTCTGGAACTGGATGTAATACAGTTGTGAACCACCTAACATGATGGGGTGCTGGGAACCAAACAAAGGGCCTTTACAAGGACAGCAGGTGCTCTTAACTGGCAAGCCATCTCTCCAGCTCCTAGCCTGGCAAAGTTTTAAAAATTGATAACACAAAGTTGGGCATAGTGGCAGAGGCAGGTGGATTTCTATGAGATCGTGGGCAGCCTAATCTATATAGTGAGTTCCAGGACATCTAGAGCTATACAGTGAGACGCTATCTCAAAAAATAACAGGCCGGGCGGCGGTGGTGCACACCTTTAATCCTAGCACTCAGGAGGCAAAGCCAGGTGGATCCGAATTCAGGGCCAGCCTGGTCTACAGAGCGAGATCCAGGACAGGCACCAAAACAACACAGGGAAACCCTGTCTTGGGGAGGGGTGGGGGGAACAGAACACAACAAAGGAATATTACAGAATTGGAAAGATAATGAGTTTTTTTTATATTGCTGCAGTAACAAGTTGGTAAGAGCTTTTGGGGCAAGTTTAATTGGTGGTGAATTATGACTTTAAATGTTCCCACTCTGACCCAAGAATTCTATCTCCAGGTATGTAAGAGCAGTTCTCACCATGATCCAAGACAGGGCCTGAGCACTATGGCACTACAGGTAATGGAACATGCTAGAAATCCACCCTACCTACCACTGGGGAATGGTGAAATGTGTGCCAGGGTGGCCACACACTGGGAATGACAGCTACCTTCCAGAATGAAACAGATGTGTGTATATGTGCTGAAACCTCCAACAAAGCCTACAACTGAATCATCAGGTTACAAAGTAGTGTGAAGTGCTCACACTTCTGCAAGTGTGGAAGACAGAAGAGAGCCGTGGGACATGGTGAGCAACCCGGACGCTGCACTGCCTCTTGAGTAAACACGGAGCACCATTTTACACACTTTAATGAGCTCATATTAGTCTAGTAAGCAGAAAAATACAAATAACAAACCATGATTAGTAAAATGTTTCTCATAATTACTTCAAAATTTCTGAAAATGATGTGTTATCACCGTGATTTATCTAATATTATTCATACAATGTATGAAGTAACCCATAAGTCTGCTAATGGCATAACGAATAGTTTTTGTTTGGTCATAACTTCCTTTCTGAATCGCTGCTTGGCATGAAATCCCATGGATCAGAACCAAACAATGGAGCCAGGTACAGAACAGATGGAGTGAACAGGAGGAAAGACAGGCCCCCATCTTCAAAGGGGTCATCTGCCCGATACTCCAATCTCCCTTGTAAGTCTATGATTTTGCTGACTTCCATCTTGTCTGCCAATCTGAAGAATACAGCAGCAGCCAAGATGCTCACCAGGAGGGAGAGGAAAGGTGGCATGGGTGGGCGGGGCACCGGAGCTCTCCTGGCTCCACAAAAGGCATCTGAGCTACAGGCAGGGCTCTCCTGGCCTCTCCGAACCACCTTGTCCTCTGTCATTTACTCAAGGCTGGAGGTGGTCCAAACACATGAAGCCAGAGAGTGGGCAGCAAGTTCTGGGCACAAACATCACCAACAGCTACCATATTGCCATAAAAGAGAAAACTGGCTTTAGAAGGAGATAGAGCTGAGAACTCTTTTTTGAGACAAGGTGTCACTTTATAGCTCTGGCTGCCCTGGAACTCTGTAGATCAGGCTGGCCTTGAATTCACAGATACTCCTGCCTCTGCCTCTTAAGTGCTGGCTTTAAAGGTGTGTACCACCACACCTGGCTGGGACTATTTTCTAAAATGCAAAAATTTTCCTTGGAATTGCCCCATCATTTGCAAATTTTTGTCAAGTCCAAACGTAATTCTGAATGAGGTAGGTAGTCTCTACTCAGGCCTTGGTCTCTGAGGTGCCGCCTGTCCAGGCCTATGCCATGAAAGCACTGGGCTCCCAGGCAGGGACAGTGCTGAGGGTGGCGCCAGTCGCTGGTGAAGCTTCTCAGTTGGCTATCTTCTCGATCTCATCCAAATCATCTGTGTCCAATCTTTCTATCTTCTTATCTGAGGAAATAAAGATTGGAAGACCACCGTGGAAATGTAACAGAAGTCACCTAGAACAGCATGGCAGTCTGGGGAGGGCAGGCGCCCAGCTGTGGGACAGTGTGCTTCCTCTAGGCACAGGGCAGGCTTCCTGAGCCTGAGCAGCTGGCAACAGGGTCCTGGGCACTGATCCCAACTTCCCAGGGAAGTTGTCAGGTTCTCCTAGCTTGGTGCCAGGGCACTGATACTCCAGTCCCTGAGCCCTGAATGTGCAGGAGCTCTCCCTGACAGCATCCACGTGGAGACAGCAAGTACAGGGACAGAGCCTGCCTCAGGGACAAAGGAAACCTCCCCTCTCCCACATTCCCTCTGAAAAGGGTCCCAGGCACAGCCGACTCAGGGACTCACTAAAATGCTCCTGGATTCTGTTGAGGATGTTCATGCTGTGCTTGCTGTCAACCATGTTCACGGCCAGACCCCTCTTGCCAAAGCGGCCCGTGCGTCCGATGCGGTGCAGGTAGGTCTCGTTGTCTGGGTTCCCGTCCTTGTCCACGGGAAGGTCAAAATTGATGACCACAGACACTTGTTCAACATCAATACCTGCACAGAGGGGTTGGAGGGAGGCAGGTAGGAGACAAGGGGGGCACCGTCAGCCACACACACCCACTTCACTGGAGACATGGCTTGGGCAGGTCCCACTGGGCTGTGGGCACTAAAGAGGACATCTACAGGACTGTAGCCTAGGCAGAAGAACAGAACTCTGCCAGCAGTCAGAAAGCGAGTATCTAGAACCCTGAGTTTCTTCCCACCAAGGCAGGACTGCTGGCTTCTTCCAAGTGATTCTTACTGCCCAAGGAGAGACTGATTCTCTCCTACAAAGAAATGTCCCTAAAACCCTCCCACCTCCGTGAGACCACGGCTACAAGCACTTTTCTTGCTGACAGGGCCTGGGACCCTCGCCTGGTGAATGGGGCGGCCATCCTCTGCTCACCACGGGCACACACGTTGGTGGTCACCAGGACCTTCTCTTTGCCTTCTCGGAAGCGCTCAATCACAGCCGCCCTCTGTTCCACCATCATCTCTCCACTCAGCAGAGCCACCTGGTGGCCCTCTTTGGAGAGCTCTGCTGCCAGCCAGCCAGCTGTTTTGCGGGTCTGAGGGGAAAAAAAACACAGGAAAACACACACACACACACAACTGTTTAAGAAATATTAGTGCCTAAAAAAAAAAAAAAAAAAAAGGGCGGTGGTGGCGCACGCCTTTAATCCCAGCACTCGGGAGGCAGAGCCAGGCGGATCTCTGTGAGTTCGAGGCCAGCCTGGGCTACCAAGTGAGTTCCAGGAGAGGCGCAAAGCTACACAGAGAAACCCTGTCTCGAAAAACCAAAAAAAAAAAAAAAAAGAAATATTAGTGCCTAAAGAGACTATTGTGGATCTAGAAGACTCTATCTGACACTTACTAGGCAAACATTAAATGTGCTGAACAAAACTGCCAACCTGACAGTACAATAGCAAGCAAAATTGTCACTTGGGAAACAATTTTACAATGTTCCTACTAAGCCGAGTGGAGGTGGTGTGCCTTTAATCCCAGCACTCTGGAGGCAGAGGCAGCGGATCTCTGAGTTCGAGGCCAGCCTGGTCTACAGAGTGAGATGCAGGACAACCAGGGCTACACAGAGAAACCCTGTCTTGAAAAACCAAACCAAAGCAACAAACTAAACTAAACTAAAATCACAGTAAAAAGTCTTATACTAACAGAAGATGACATGTCTTATTCTTTTGCTTCCTAACAATATTTTCAAGTGCTTCTTCCTGTGACAATTTAATCAATTTGTTAAATTTCTTAAATCATTAGCAGCCTTCTTTTAGATTTTTCCAATAACATATCCCCTACAAATATATACTGTTGCGGGAATGCTGTGTTAAGCTATGTAACTCCTAGAACATGGCCACTAAAGAAACCACCCTCTCTATCTCCACAAGCCAGTTCCTTGCTCCACAGAATTTGAACCTCTTGTGCAAAGGAAGTGGGGCTGAATGACGGAGGACCAGTGCACCCCTGCAGGCCTGCAGCAGCTACTCACATGGCAGAAGATCATGGCTTGGGCGATGGTGATGGCCCCATACAGGTTGCACAGGGCCTGGAACTTCTCCTCTCTGTTATTGCAAACGACATAATACTGTTTGATGGTGTCCAAAGTCTCCTCTTCACGCTTAAGTTTGATGATGTTGGGGTCTGGGACCACCTTCTGGGCAAACTTCCACACTGAGTCTTCAAAGGTGGCAGAGAAGAGCAGCATCTGGCAGTTTCTGGGCAGCATCCTGCAAGTGGAGACCCAGGCACTTTGAGCGACTCCAAGGTTTTTGCCAGAAGGCACACAAGCCCAGCCTCCGCAGCCTGGATGGGCTGCAGCCCCAGCAGGCTGAGTGGGATACAGAGCATCCTGGGAGGGAGGAGCAGACCAAGAGTGGCGCTGGACTGAGTGAGGGTCCCGGGTCTCAGCATGATGACAGCCGTTGTGGAAATGGCCCATCACACAAATGCTGCTGCACAGAGCAGAGCAAAGAACCCAAAGATGCAAGAGGAGACTTTGGAAGTTCCTCCTGGCTCCAGTTCCTACCTCTGGATGCGGATGCTCTGGTCTTGGTGGCCCTGAGTTGCTATCATCACGTCAGCCTCGTCCAGAACAAACACCTTGATCTTCTTGGGGTCAATGAACTTCAGCTTGGAGCACCAGTCCAGGACGGTCCCGGGGGTGCCAATGACAATTTGCTCACTGACCTTCTGACCTCTGTCCACTGTGGAAAAGACATGTTCTCTTCAGGTATTCCAAAGGAAAGCCAGCTCTGGAAATAAAAGCCTTATATATCCTCTCAGACTGTCAGAACCAATCAACTCCAGATTTCACAACACATGTGGGGACCGGTAAGATGGCTCAGGGTGTAAAGGCCCCGTCAGGCCTGAACTTTGTTCAATCCTGGGAACTACCTGGTGGAAGGGAAGAGCTGACTCACACAGGTTATCCTCTGACCTAAACACACACAGTGCCTACCATATCCCACCGCATAAATAAAACACACCTGAGGGTCAGTCTTGCTTTCTGCAACTGTACAGTTGAACAACCTGTACAGTGCATTGTGGACATAAAACGTGGAAGTTTCTTTCTACTTTCGCTTAAAAACATTGAAAACAGTTTCTGGGTTTTTTTTGTTTATTTGTTTGTTTATTTGTTTTGAGACAGGGTTTCTCTGTGTAGTTTTCGTGCCTATCCTAGATCTTGCTCTGGAGACCAGGCTGGCCTTGAACCCACAGAGACCCGCTTGGCTTTGCCTCCCTAGTGCTGGGATTAAAGGGAAAAACATTTTTTATTAGTTTGGGAGGGGTGCAGTGTTTTGCATGCCCGGTGCCTTCAAAGGCCAGAAGGGGGCTCCAGTTTCAGGGGATCTGAAGTTACAGACAGTTGTTAGCTGCCCATGTGGGTCCTAGGAATTGAACCTAGGTCCTCTGAAAGAACACCTCTGAGCCATCTCTCCAGCCCTCTCCTAAATGTAGTATCATGTAGCTCTTCTTTAACATGATTTATCATTCACTTTCCCATGTAGTTCAATTCCTTCCTCCTAAACTGGTAGCTCTGAGTCAAGGATCCTGGCACAGACTTTGTTCTGCTTTCTGGCCTACAGACAGTCTACTTGTGTAGCGAGTTCCCCTCAAGACAAATCTCTAGCTTAAAACACACACACACACACACACACACACACACACACACACACACGCACTCTGAAACTTCAGCTAGCTCAAGTTGAAACTTATATAACTGTTTATAAAGTTACTAATGCGAGTACAATAACATTCCATTTTGAGAGATTAGTCTTGTCAGGCATGCATGGTAGCCCAGGCTTACAAATTCCAAGGTCTCTGTTTAGGTCTCATCCCTTATACTCACATTTATTGCCTCGAACAGCATAAGCTAGCTTCAATTCTGGATGAAATTTGCCCATCTGCTCAATCACTTTTCCTGTTTGAAGTGCCAGCTCATATGTTGGGGACAGGCACAAACACTGGCAGAGAAATCATAGATGAGTTTAGGAATGGACAACAGGCCTCAGCCCACAAGCATACTGATGTTATTTCCTCTTGAAATAGTGCAGGGGACCTTCTTATCAAGCACGCCCACCTCTCATCTGCAGAACGAATGCCTCAGTAAAGAACCCTGCCCTAGCAGGACCCCTACTTTGGTATTGGTAGAGGCCTTAAGAAACAGTGGTTAAAGTTGCTGTCTCCAAAAGTATTCTTCCTTGTTAAGGCTTCAGCACTAACCTGCTTTGCAGGAGCCAATGACTAAGGTGGGAACGTTAGTCATACCTCATCAGACGGCACTACTCTGTCTCAGGGCAGACCAGTCAGAGTCCCCAGGCTTCTAACGCTTACCTGAGGATATCTGTCTGACGGTTCCACTCTGCTGAGCATAGCTAAGACAAAGGCGGCTGTTTTCCCAGTACCAGACTGAGACTGGGCGATTAGGTTCTGCGGGCTGCATTGACAAAGAACAGAAATAATTTAATATTGGAGCAAGGTATGGTCATCCATGCTTTTAATCCCAGCATTTAGGAGTCAGAAACAGGCAGATTACTCAGTGTAAGTTGCTACATAGTGAAACCCTGTCTCAAAAAAGAAAAAAGTTAATATTGGTTAAACATAATCAAACACCCAGGGCTAGAGAGATGGCTCAGCGGTTAAGAGCACTGGCTGTTCTTCCAGAGGTCCTGAGTTCAATTCATAACAACTACATAGTGGCTCACAACCCTCTATAATGAGATCTGGTGCCCTCTTCTGGCCTGCTGGCATATATGCAGGCAGAACACTGTATACATATTAAATAAATCTTTAAAAAAAAAAAGAAAGAAAAAGAAAAGAATCAAACAGCAACAACAACGAAACCTCCCCCCACATAAAAAAAACCCAAACATCAAGACTCCACTCTGGAGTGTCCTAGTTTTATGCCCCAAATGTCCCAGGGAGATCAAGAATGCAGGGTAAGATCTGGGCCACAAAAGTCCCAGTGATGTTTTCTGCTGAGCTACATAACTTGCCCCCAAATTTCAGCTTTCTGAACGCTCTCTTCTCATCCTACAGATAACTTGAGACACTGACTCAGGGGGCACATTTTCCTTTCTTCTTTCATGGTCGTAGTACGTAGCCCAGGAGGTTAGCCTCAAACTCAAACTTGTGCACACTGAGTCCATAATTAGCTGTAATGGGTATTTTAGAAGGATCCTTTACAATCTATCTCACCTCACCCAATACCATGGTGTTTTGTTATTAAAAAAAAAAAGTTGGAGCTAAAAAAGTTCATCCAAAATATAATATCATTTGTCTAGGCTTTAAAAATATCCAAGCTACCCTTCAGAACCTTAGATAACTATACACATAATAAAAGTACAAAGACTCCTGAGGAGATAATAATCAATCTCAGGATGGCATTTGCTTCAGAGAGGGTAGGCAAGGGATGGGAAGGGGGGGTTTATAGAAGGTTCCATATGCAACTGGACAAATGTTATATTCTAAAGCTAGAGAAACATTACTGGTATCTTTCTGTATACTTTTTATTGCAGAGCTCAAAAATTCCAAAGTAGTATTTTAGTTATATACATGGTTGTGAACCACAATGTGGTTGCTGGGAATTGAACCTGAATCCTCTGGAATAGCAGCAAATGGTCTTAACTGCTAAGTCATCTCTCCAGACCCTCAAAATAATTTTTGAACCAAATTTGTTTTTGAAGAAGCAGATATTAAACCTATGTCATCAAGAATGCCAAGCAAGGGCCAGGAGTGTTAAGACACACCTTTAACCCCCACACCTGGCAGGATGAGGTAGGCAGGATGAGGTAGGCAGATCTCTACGAGCTTTAGGTCAGCCTGGTCTACACAGCCAGCTCCAGGTAGGCCAAGACCACATAGTGAAACCTAGCTCCCGCCCCCCAAAAAAAGGAATGAAGAAACAAAAAGAATGTCAAGTAATCACTCTACCACTGAGGTACATCCTAAACTCCAAAGTAAATTTTCAAATATTATTTCTGGATTTATTTATTCATTTATTTAATTTTGAGACAATATCTCACTGTAGTCCAGTCTGGACTTGAACTTGAAATCCCCCTACATCTGCCTCCCAAAGGCTAGAATTACAGGTGTGATCCACCATATACTAGGCTCCAAAATAATATCTAAAACATAAGAAAAAAAAATTTTTTTGGTTTTTTCGAGACAGGTTTTCTCCGTGTAGTTTTGGTGCCTATCCTTGATCTCACTTTGTAGACCAGGCTGGCCCCGAACTCACAGAGATCCGCCTGGCTCTGCCTCCTCTACCCCCAGTGCTGGGATTAAAGGCGTGCGCCACCACCCTCCTGACTTAGAAATTTTTTTTCCGGAGCTGAGGACTGAACCCAGGGCCTTGCGCTTGCTAGGCAAGCACTCTACCACTGGGCTAAATCCCCAACCCCAGAATAGAAATTTTTTAAATATAAAATTTTATAAGGGTCTAGAACAGTGGCTCTCAACCTGTGAGTTGAGAGTCCTTTGGAGGTTGAACAGCGCTTTCATAGGGGTCGCCTAAGATCACTGTAAAACACAGATATTTACATTACCATTCATAACAGGAGCAAAATTAGTTAAGCAGCAGCAACCAAGCCGGGCGGTGGTGGCGCACACCTTTAATCCCAGCACTCAGGAGGCAGAGGCAGGCCTGGTCTACAGAGCTAGTCCAGGACAGGCTCCAAAGCTACAGAGAAACCCTGTCTTGAAAAACAAAAAAAACAAACAAACAAAAAAAAAGAAGCAGCAACAAAAATAATTTTACGGTTGGAGAGGTCACACACGAGGAATTGTATTAAAGGGTCACAGCATTAGGAAGGTGCAAACCACTGGTCTAAAATGAAACACTATTTATTCTTACTGCTAAATGGAAACAGTAAGAACTGTGTCCACAGAGATGTAGAGCACTTCCTGCTCTTCCACAGGACCCAAGTTCAGTTCCCAGCATCTGTGTAGGGTAGGGTTCACAACCATGTGTAACTCCAGATCCTAGAGATCCAATGCCCACTTCTAGACTGTGGGCATCTTCATTTGCACATGCACATACCCACACACAGACACATACACATCTATATACATAATTATAAATAAATCTTTTATAAAAAAAGGATTTACTATTTTTATATTCAGTGCATTGGTGTCTTGCCTACATGTATGAGGGTGTCAGATCTCCTGGAACTGGAGTTACAGACAGCTGTAAGCAGCCATGTGGGTGCGAGGGATTGAACCCTGGTCCTCTGAAAGAATAACCAATACTTATAACCACTGAGCCATCTCTCCAGCCCCTAAAAATAAATCTTTTTTTTTTTGTTTTTTTGTTTTTTCGAGACAGGGTTTCTCTGTGGCTGACCTCGAATTCACAGCGATCTGCCTGGCTCTGCCTCCCGAGTGCTGAGATTAAAAGCGTGTGCCACCACCGACTGGCTAATAAATTCTAAAAAAAAAAAAAAAAATATATATATATATATATATTTTTTTTTTTTTTTTTTGGTTTTTCGAGACAGGGTTTCTCTGTGTAGCTTTGCGCCTTTCCTGGGACTCACTTGGTAGCCCAGGCTGGCCTCGAACTCACAGAGATCCGCCTGGCTCTGCCTCCCGAGTGCTGGGATTAAAGGCGTGTGCCACCACCGCCCGGCTTAAAAAATATATATTTATATAAAAAAAGAAATGTGAGCTAAGTGGCTCACCACTTTAATCCTAGTATTTGGGAGGCTGAGGGAGGTAGATCTCCTGAGTTCATTGTAAGCCTGGTCTACAGAGTGAGCTCAGGGATACACAGAGAAACCCTGTATTGAAAAAAAAAACAAAAAAAAACAAGAAAATACTCCATCCCCACCCACAAAAAGAAATGTGTTCAAATCCATGTGATTCTCTCTGCACTCCAAAAGATTTTTCCTGAAAAAGCAGGTTTTCCCAGACAGCCTGTTTTGTGCCCAGCAACAATAAAAGCCATTCACAAAACAGTTTAACTATGAAGGAACAGCTGGGTCTGTACTCACGGTTCAGCAAGCATCATGGGCAATGCATTCTCCTGGATCTTGGATGGTCGATTGAAGCCCATGGCATAGACTCCTTGGAGAAGCTGTGGTTTCCTAGGAGGAAAGGTAGATACAGATGAGATGGGTTTCTAGCAATTAAAATGTTTTTAGAGGCTTATCATCTTACCCTAGATTTAATAAGACATGATGTGTCCTATCTCAACCAAACTATTATTCTAAAATCTGTTTATCTATTCTCTATATATACGTGTATGTGTGTGTCAAGGCTATCTTTAATCATTCTGATCATCTGCCCCTCCCCCCACCCCCTTTTCAGACAGGGTTTCTCTATGTAGCCTTAACTGTCCTAAAACTCACTTTATAGACCAGGCTGGCCTCAAACTCAGATCTGCCTGCCTTTGCCTCCCAAGTGCTGGGATTAAAGGCATGTGCCACCACCGCCTGGCTCTTGCTTCATTTTTTAAGAGCTATTTTTATTTCTTGGAAACAAGGTCTGTCTATGTAGCCCTGGAAGTCCTGGAGCTCACTATAGTCCATCCTGACTGATCTCTTGAGTGTATTACCAGTTATGCAGTACCAGGGCCTTGTGCATGCTAGGCAAGTGAAGTGGCTATCCCCTCTTATAACATGACTGAATCTAACAGGCCAGTTGTGGTTTTTTGTTTTTTTTCCCAGGGTCAGTTTGCTAAGACCTCTGCTCCACATTACCCCACCATTCTATGTTGACACATGTCTGGCTTCAATCAGACAGAAGTATGTCCGGTCTGGTAGCCATCAGGGTCCTACCTGGTCACAAGCAGGAACTTTTCTTGCAATTTTTCAGTCAAACAGACCTCTGACACTACAACCACAGTTGCTGACCAGATGTCATGAGCCAATCATAAAATGATTCCTGTACCAGTAAGGGCCTACACCTAATTACACTTAACCACAGCTGGAATTTACCTAATCCTGCTTAAAAGGAGTCTGTGAGCTTCTCTCAGGGTGGCCATTTGCCACTTGGTCAGATGGTTTGACCCCAGTATGCTGGAATTTTTTTATTAAATGCTCTTACTGATTGCATACATGACTGGTGGTCTTTTATGGTCTTCTATATTGCTATTAGGGTGGTCTCTCAAACCCTAATAGCAAGCACTCTACAGAGTGAACTACACTGCCATCCTGAAATTTCAGTTATTTCTTGGTTTAGATGCTAAAATTGAGCCCTAATTTTGTGTGTCCAGCTGGGCAAAAACACAGGGCAACCAAAAGGAAGAACAGTGATTAATCTAGTTTCTATTTGTTGACATGGTAACCAGGTAAGTGTTGTTGTTTAGACAGATGTAGTGATTATGTCTAGTCAAAAATCAAAACTAGGAGAGGTGCCGTGTATGTGGTAGCTCATGCCTTTATCACAACACTTGGTAGACTAAGGCAAGAGGACTGCTGAGAATACAAGGCCAACCTGGGCTACTGTGCAGTAGTCTCAAAAAACAAGACTAGAAAAGCACCAACTTCTAAATTTTTTGTTTGTTTTTTTGTCTCCACCCCTAGAGTGCTGAGATTACAGGCCTGCATCACTACTTCTGATTTATGCTGGGGATCGTACCCAGGGCTCCACGCATGCACTCTACCAACTGAGCTGCAATCCCAGTCCTGGCAACAATTTCTTAAGCAACTACATAACAAGTATCAATTAATATTACGTTTATATTGTATTTACAATAAGCTCTCTACTACCTCAACATTCAAAAAATATTTAACAAAAACCACACAACACTCATTTTAAATTTTTATTCATTTGTTATTACTGTGTGTATGTGCATGACACATCTGTGAGTGATGCTCTCACCAGCCATGGCCCATGCACATGTGGAGATTACAGGATAACTTTCAGGAGTTGGTTCTCTCCTTCTACCATGATTCTGGAGACTGCACAGCAATGTCTTTAATCCACTGAGCCATCTTGACGGCCCAGGAGGATTTTTGCTTGTGTTTTTTTGTTGTTGTTTTTCGAGACAGGGTTTATCCATGTAACAGCCCTGGCTGTCCTGGAACTCACTGAAGACTAGGCTGGCCTCGAACTCAGAAAGATCCGCCTGCCTCTGCCTTCCAAGTGCTGGGATTAAAAGTGTGTGCCACCATCACCCGGCTATTGCTTGTTTTTTTTAAAGGAAAGAGTTCACGCCGGGTGGTGGTGGCGGCGGCGGCACAAGCCTTTAATCCCAGCACTCGGGAGGCAGAGGCAGGCGGATCTCTGTGAGTTCGAGGCCAGCCTGGGCTACCAAGTGAGTTCCAGGAAAGGCGCGAAGATACACAGAGAAACCCTGTCTCGAAAGACCTAGAGTTCACAAAACGCAGGCTGGCCTTGAACTCACTATGTTGCTGAGGGTAGCCTTGAATTCCTGATCATTTTACCTCCACCTCTGTCTTGAGGGTTGGGATCATAGCACACCCCACTTTGCTCAGCTCTTCACAGAAAAGCTAATAGCTAGGCATGGTGTCTCACACCTATAATCCCAACACTCAGAAAGCTGAGGTAAAAGGACTGTCTCAAGTTGCACACTATCCTGGCTACACAGTGACTTCCAGGTCTGCCTAAGCTACTGAGTGAGACTGTATCTTAAAAAAGGAAGGGGGTACGGGAAGGACTAGCAAGATGGCTCAGTGAGTAAAGGTACCTGCTTCAAGCCTGATGACCTGAGTTTGATCTGTCAGACGGGATCCACATGGTGGAAAGGGGAAACTGACTCCCACACGCTATCCTCTAACCTCCGTATATGCACACACACACAGAAGTGCAATAAAAACTTAAAAGACAAAGGGGCTGGAGAGATGGCTCAGCAGATAGATAAGAGCACTAGCTGTTCTTCCAAAAGACCTTGGTTAGATTCTCAGCTCATAACTCCAGTTCTATGGGATCTGATGGCCCTCTTCTGGCCTCTAAGGGCACCAGGCATACAAAAATATGTAGACAAAACACCCACACACATAAAAAGAAAAATTCTGTATTTTAAATAAAAATGTTAAAGAAAAAAAAAAAAGCCAGACAGTGGTGGCACTCCATTTAATGCCAACATTCAGGAGGCAGAGGCAGGCAGATCTCTGAGTTCTAGGCCAGCCTGGTCTACAGAGTGAGATCCAGGACAGCCAGAACTACACAGAGAGACCCTGTCTTGAAAAACAAAACAAAATAAAAAGTCAAACCAAATTAAGAAGTTGTCCATCTTCTCTACCTCTAAAAGACAAACTCTTCTGGCACATGTAGGTTCTCAGACATAGCAAACAACAAAACCCTTTAGTATTCTCTATTTGGTAGTAAAGGCAGCCTCTTAACTTGCTTGTCCAAAAAAAGTTACTACTTAATTGGGATTCACCAACAGGTTCCACTGACTCATAAGCTTTCTTTGTTTTTTGTTTTTTTTTGCCTTTCAAATCTTTAAGTATAAAATAATCCAAGCTGGGCATGGTGACACATGTCTGTGACCCTAGTGTCTGGAACGGGGGGCAGGGTGCTGGATTCTTAGTTTGCTGGCCAGCCAGTCTAGCCAACAAGTAAGCTATGAGGAGTTCAGTGAGAGGCCCTTTCCAAAAATAAGACGAGAAATGGTAAGAGCATGGTCCCCAACATCACTCTCTGGCCTCCAAGTGTGTGCAAATGCATTCCCATGCACAGGTACACAAACAAAAGTCCCCTCCCCCACAAAGAATGAGAAAACCCCAAACAAACAACCCAAGTACCCTAGGCAATCTAGGTTCCATCCAGTTACCTTCCAACAAATAAACAAGAGAAAACCTGCCAAAGAGGACAACTCAAGTTCCAAGCGGTAGCTCAGATCTTATAAGAGCAGCACTTGGCTGGCCAACACAGGAGGATCTCTGCAAGTTCTAGGCTAGCCATGTGTCTACACAGTTAGATTCTTTCAAAAATCAAACAGCAATCCATCAGGATCTGAACTGAGAGTGCAAGTCTTCCAAATGAAAGGAATATGAAACTCTGAGCTCAGAACTCACTCAACTACTGAGACAACTGGCTCACACCTGTAATCCTCGCACTTAGGAGGCTGAGACAGAAGCATCGCTGAGTCCTAGACTAACCTACACTACCTAGTGAGTCCTAGCTACTTTAGGCTATGTAGTGAGACCTCTAAAAAAAAAGCAAGGGGGCTGGAGAGATGGCTCAGTGATTAAAACACTGGCTGCTCTTCCAGAGGACCTGAGTTCTGTTCCCAGCAACCACATGGTGACTGACAATCATCTATTACTATAGTCCCAAGAGGTCTAATGCCTTCTTTTGACCTACACCTGCACCAGGCAAACAAATGGTGCACACACATACATGCAGGCAAAAGAACTCATGCATAAAATAAAATACCTAAATTTAAAAAACTGGTTTGTTTTTGGTTTGTTTTATTTTGTTTTTTGTTTTTTGCTGGACGGTTGTGGCGCACACCTTTAATCCCAGCACTTGCAGAGGCAGGCGGATCTGTAGTCAGAAGTTTTCCTAAGTCCCACCCGGCCCTGTGTGGTCCAGACAAATCTCTCCCACCCTCGTCCCGCAGCCTATAAAAAAAAAAAGCCACATAAAGATGGAAATCACACAGAGAGTCTGGATTATATTGTCTTTGGGATTTTTTTTTTCTTTTTTTTTTTTTTTTGGTTTTTCGAGACAGGGTTTCTCTGTGTAGCTTTGCGCCTGTCCTGGAACTCACTTGGTAGCCCAGGCTGGCCTCGAACTCACAGAGATCCGCCTGGCTCTGCCTCCCGAGTGCTGGGATTAAAGGCGTGCGCCACCACCGCCCGGCTGTCTTTGGGATTTTTAACTGCAGAAAGACATTTGATTATAAAGGCTGTTAAGTTAAGCCTATATTTTTTTTCTTTTTTTTGGGGGGGGGGGGTCTTTTTGACACAGGGTCTCTCCTGTGTAGTTTTGGTGCCTGTCCTGGATTTCGCTCTGTAGACCAGGCTGGCCTCAAACTCACAGAGATCCACCTGGCTCTGCCTCCCGAGTGCTGGGATTAAAGGCCTGCGACACCACCACTTGACAATATATATAGTTTAAAGGTATCTTGACTTCAAAGTTTGTGTCTACGGATATGTTGCTTTGGAAAAGAGGTTCTGCTTTTGTTTCCACAGAAGATGAGAACCTGTAGATTGTTTCCAGGGTAATATGGTTTGATCAACCAAGACCCCCTGAGAGGTCTCCAGATGATCCAACATCCAAAGCAGTTTCAAAGCAACTGGCTCAGAGAACATTGAGTATCACAGACTACTCCATTCAGGAATTGACCATAATTCTTAATTTTCTCAGGATGCAGTGCCCTCAATCTGCAGGAAGCAGCCTAGACTACTATGCCCAAATTCCCAAAAAATGGTTTATGGATGTTTGTCTTTGTTTAGATTGTTGTTTGCAAACTGTTATTGGTCATAGTCAATCTCTTTCTTAAAGAAGAAAGGGGGATATGATATAGAAATGTAGGATATAGATATGACTGAATGAAAGGGTAGATTACTGAATTTACTTTTAAAGAAAAACAATTTTTTTGAAATGTTTTACAATGCTATGGATTTTAGTTTGTTGATACAAATTTAAAGTTAATTTTGTTATACCATAATATATTTCTACTCTTGTTTAAGGTATTATGTTTATGCAACTCATTTAAAATTGTAATGTATAATTAAGAAATAGATTAATAATTAGTCATCTATGATAATCACACTTATAATCATGTTAGTTTTCTAGGTATACATAGATACAGTTCAGTTAGGTAGGTAATCTTCAAACACTTCAAAGACCTATAGAATATGGCATTTAAAATGTTTTAAAAACTTCGACTTTCTGGACAGCGAGACACATCTGCTCCTGGCAGCACTTTTACTTCAAAGAGAAAGATGAACATTGAAGACACACTATATGGAGTTTATCTTCTTCTTAGCAAAAATAGCCATTTGGGCAAGAAACTGCTCTTGTGTGGACTGCTGATAATATGTTATGTAAACTGGACATGCAGGACCCATAGAAAGGTGACCACTGAACTTTGCAAGGCAAAATGGTTCTTCAAGTTCCTGCTTCGCATAGGAGACTGACAAATATTCTATAGGACACACTGAGAACCAACTAAAAAACTCTAGGCCTGTTGGCTGAAGATGGATGCCCCAATGTTGCAGAGGAACTTAGGTGACTGTCCAGGCAGCCAGCTGTTTCTGTCATTCTAGATTTTTGTAAGTTGCTTACAATGCATTTCCTGTTTACTTAGGTAATATTGTATCCTTCTGGGGTCCTTGATGTAGTTGAAGACTAGATAGTTATAACTGTAATTTTTCTTAGTTATAATAAAAGATAAATTAGATATGAAACTTTAGACTCACAAATATAGGATAAAATATTTTCTTTAATTTTGCCAAATACAAATATACTAGATATTGTAACTGTAATTCTTGCTTGATAACTGTTTGTTACATATAATTTTACTAGAGTAAAGCTAAAACCTTCCTTTTTGATTAGGTAGAAAAGGGGAAGTGCTGTGGGATATCTTTCTGTATGCTGGGAATATGTATTGTTCCCATTGGTTAATAAATGGACTGCTTTGGCCTATGGCAAGGCAGCTTACAGGCAGGTGGGAAGTCCAGGACAGGGACAGGAAAAGGAGAGGCATAGGCAGTAAGGAGAAGACAGCTGCCGCCAGGAAAAGCACGATGTGAAAGTACTGGTAAGCCACGATCACATGGCAACTTATAGATTCATAGAAATGGGTTAAGTTAATGGAGCTAGCTAGCAAGAAGCCCAAGCCATTAGGCCATACAGTTTGTAAGTAATATAAGCTTCTGTGTGTTTACTTGTCCAAGAGGCTGTGGGATGGGCAGGAAACAGGAAAATTTCTGACTACACGGATCTCTGAGTTTGAGGCCAGTCTGGTCTACAGAATGAGTTCTAGAACAGACAGGACTACACAAAGAAACCTGTTTCAAAAAGCTCCCCCCCCCCCGCCCCTCAAAAAAAAAGAAAGAAAGAAAGAAAAGAAAAGAAAAAGCAGGAACAGATGACAGATTGGTGAATAAATGAATAAAACCTTTGAGAAAGGAATACTTCCAAGTCTAATTCCCTGGTGGAGTGCTTACCTGGCATGCATGGAACAGATCCAGAATCGAATAAACCAGGCCTGGTGGCACATGCCTGTAAGCCCACCATAAGGTGGGTAGGGGTAGGACATCAGAAGTTTAAGGTCATCCTCAGTCAAAGGGAGTTTGAAGTCAGCATGTGCTGTATGAAACTCTTATCTCCAAAAAGGTTGTCTTATAATAATAAAAAGTGATTGTGATAAGACAGTCAGTTGGCAATGTGCCTGCCACACAAGCATGAGGGTCTGGGTTTAGATGTGTAGCACCCACGAAAAGCCCAGGGGGAGGGTTACATGAATGTAATCTCAGTGCTAGTGGGGGGTGGAGACAGGAGGATCCCCAGGATGCCTAGCAGAATGAATATCCTCCAGGTTAAGGGAGAAATCTGTTTCTCTCTCACACACAGTATTTGCCAAGAGCTCCGTCCATTTGGCATTTTCAAGTAGTCAGTGCAGTAGTGTTGACTAGACAGTGCTGTATAGCTCAGTCTCATGTCAAATAATTAAAAACAGAAAAACCCTCTGAGAGCTATTAAGCACACTTTATCATTACGTGGTTCCTTCCCTCAAAGCCTGGCCTATCACAGGTTTCGCTGAATTCTAGGTACCAGGAATCCAGGCTCTTCAGAGACTTTCTAAAAGCAGACTATTGTCTGTAAACCCTGTAGTCTTCCAAAGGGCTTACCTAATAAGACATGTTCCTGACATCCAGAAATCACCTGTCAGCCAATATTTTATTCAAAGTTCTAAGAATATAAAAGAAAAAAAAAAAAAAAGACTTTCAGCTATGATGAATAAACCTGTAGCATTTCAGTCTCTACTAAGAAAATTATGTGCTTTGGTACACACCTATAGTCCTAGTTACCCATGAGGCTCAGGTGTCCAAAGCTTGCAAGGGCAACACAGTGAGATCTCACATGCACGCTGTAACCCAGGCAGATCCTGAACTTCTGAATCTCTTACTTCAAAGCAGCTAGATCATGGGCCTGCATCACTACCAGGCTACTCTGAGATTTAGTATCCAAAAAGATATACTAGAAGAAAAAGGGTAGCCAAAAAAAGAGTGTAGAAGACCATCGCTCTAGACTTTTCAATAGTTTCATCTGTCCCAGGTTGGCCTCAAACTTGCTGTATGGTTTAGAATGACCCTGAGTTTTTGATCCTCTTGCTTGTACAATCTCCCAAACGCTGAGATTACAAGTGTGTCATTTAATGCCTGCTTTGTGCAGTACTAGGGATCAAACAGAGGACCTCATATTTGCTAAGCAGGTACTCATTTGATCACAACCTTCAACCCTCCCACACTAATTTCTGCATCATGTAGATTATTTGTTTCTTTGTGGGTTTTTTTCAAGACAGGGTTTTTCTGTGTAGCCCTGGCCATCCTAGAACTTACTCTGTAGACCAGGCTGGCCTTGAACTCAGAGATCCACCTGCCTCTGCATCCCAAGTGCTGGGATTAAAGGCACGAGCCACAATCATCCAGCAAATCATGTAGATTACTACCTACTCAAAGATGTAAATATAATTTAAAAACAACAACTTTTTTTTAAAGCCAAAGTTAAAGTCCAGAGACTGTAGCCCTGGCTGTCCTGGAACTTACTCTGAAGACCAGGCCTGCCTCTTCTTCCCAAAGGCGTGTACCACCACTGCCAGCTTTTAGTTGTTGCTGTCGTTTTTGAGACAGGCTCTCTACATAGTTCTGGCTAGACTAAACTCACAGAGATCCACCTGCCTCTGCCTACTGAGTGCTGGGATTAAAGGTGTGTGCCCAGTTCAGAGATTTTTCATTGGGACTGGGCAAGAGCTGTTTGAAGCAATGAATACTCACAGGCGAAGCTCTTCGAAAGACTTCACCGAGTAGAGAGGGGAGGTTGGGTCCCTCTGCAGGACTTCTACTTGGTTGGTGTTATCCACAAGATTGCTTCTGATCAGCTTGTTGAGTAAAGACTGAGCAGCTCTGTCCTCTGTCAGGAAGAAAGCAGATTTTCTTCATCTACGAGGCAAGGCCTGCCCTTGAGAAAATACTCTCCCCATCTCTGCATCAGACCTTGACAAGCACTCACAGCTGGAGAAAAGCCCAATCCACTCCCTTCCCATTTTTAATTTACTGGAGATGCTGTCTCACATGAACTCACAGCATCCTTCTGTCACAGAGCCCTGAGTTCTGAGAGTCCTGTCCTTGCAATGAATTTTTTTATTTTAAACCTCATTTGCCTTAGTCTCCCAAATAGCTGAGACCACAAGCATGTGATGCTTCTTAATCACCCTATCATCTATAGTAACACCCCTTTGTTTATTTTTCCCCAGAGCTGGGGATAAAACTCAGGGTCCAGCACATACAAGTGTTCTGCCCTTGAGGTACATGTCCAGGCTGAGACACACCCTTTGTGCGTTTTTTTTTTTTTTTTGTGTGTGTGTGTGTAATGTGTGTGTTCATATAAGTACAAAGGCATGCATGAATGTGCACGTGAGTGTGGAGGTCAGAGACTGAGATCATGCACCCTCCTCAACTGCTTCGTCACCTTCCTTTTTGAAATGGAGTCGTCTCTCAATGAGCCTGGAACTTAGCCAATGTTTCAGACCGGCTGGCCAGAAAGCCCAGCACCCCTGCTGCCACGCCACCTCCGCCACCTCCGCCACCAGCGCTAGGCGGACAGATGCAAGCTACGGCTCCTGTTTTTCATGTGGTACAAACTGGGGGTAACTCAGGTCACGATTTCATGGCAGGGAGGAGTACTTTACTGAACAAGCCATCTTCCCAGATCTGATATACCACACCACCGTTGAAGACATTTTCTTTGGCTTCAAGGAAAACACACTCTTGTAGTGGAATATCAGTTTAAGATGGGTTACATTTGTTTATGCTGTGGAACATTTGTTTAATGATGCAAACACGTGTTGCATTCTTTTATGTTGCATTTGTTTTAACTCTATGAACCTGTGTTACTTTGCCTGTCTAAAACACCTGGTTGGTCTAATAAAGAGCTGAATGGCCAACAGACAGGCAGAAGAGGGATAGGTGGGGCTGCCAGGCAGACAGAATATACAGAAAGAGAAGAAGAGAAGAGGGGGGAGCAGGAAAAGGAGGAGAAAAAGATGCTAGGGGCCAGCCACCCAGCCACACACAGAATAAGAAGGAAAGAAAAGATATACAGAAACAGAAAGGTAAAAGCCTAGAGGCAAAAGGTAGAAGGGATAATTTAAGAAAAGCTGGTGAGAAATAAGCCAAGCAAGGCCTGGTATTCATAAGAAATAATAAGTCTCCGTGTGATTATTTGGGAGCTAGAGAGTAAAATCATCTCATTACACCTGCTTTTGGTTTCTCCCTCACTTCCCTGGTCTTGTAACCCAAGAGTGCAGGTGGGTAAGCCCTGGCCCCACCAGGTCTCTCGGAAGAGGACTTCAAAGAATGGTTACCTTTCTCTTCCTCTTCAGTCTTCTCTGCGGTGGTGCCGGTTTTGATAACACCTACACAAGAAAAGAGTTGTCATCAGAAAGGCAAACACTAAACCCACCAACAGGTTGGAACAACGTAAACACTAACACTAAAGTAAACCAATGTAAAGAACTGGCATTTTTTTTTTTTTTTATGTTTAATGGATTTAATGTTTACAAATCATGTGAGAGCATAAAAAAACTAAAATTTGAACTTAAATCACAAAAATACTTGGTTTCTGACTTAGTTATCCTAAAAAACAGCAAAGCACTACATAGCAAATTCTATCCCTATTTTTTACCTATAAAACTAGAAAAACTCAAAGTCTGATCAAACATTTTGTAATGAGACTGTAGGGAAACAGACACTTTTAGGCTCTGTCAATAGAAATATAAAATTGTAGAATACTTTCAGAGAGCCTTGTACGATGGTGAATATCTATAATCCCAGGACTGGGGAAGCAGAAGCAAGCTCTCCCACGAATTTGAGCCTTGCCTGGTCGATATAAAAATTCTACATCAGTTAAGGCTGTACCAAAACACTAAAAACTAAAACAATCGTACAGAGGGTCCTTTATGTTTTGTTTTTGAGACAGGGTCTCATATAGTCCAGGCTGGCCTGGAGTTTGCTATGTAGCAAGGAATGATTCTCAACTTCTGATCCTCCTGCTTCTACTTCCAAGTATTTAGATTACAAAGACACAAGAGCATGCCTGATTTATATAGTATTAAGGATTGGATCCAGGTTCCTGCATGCTATCTAGCAGCCTACCACCTTAGCTATATCCTCACCCCTACTTTGGAAATATCTGTAAGCCAGGCAATGGTGGCACACCACTTTAATATCAGCATTTGAGAGGCAGAGGCAGAGGCAGGTGATCTCTGTGAGTTCAAGGCCAGCTTGGTCTACAAAGTGAGTTTCAGGACAGTCAGGACTGTTACACAGAGAAATGCAAAAAGAAAGAAAAATTGTAAAAACTGTGAATGATCAGGTAAAGGTATTTGCTGCCAAACCTGCTGACCTGAGTTCAATCGCCAAGTCACACCTGGCAGACACAACCAACTTCAAGTTGTCCTCTGACCTCCAAATGTGCACCATGACACACGTCACTCACACATACAGCATAATAAAATTTCTTAAAGACTTAATTTCCTTGTAATTATATAATGTCTATGCACATGAGTGCAGGTGTCCTTAGAGGCCAGAGAAGGGAGGAGTTATAGGATGCTGTGGGCCACCTGATGAGGGTGCTGAGACTTGGGTTCTGCAAGAGTAGTGAGAACTCTTAACCACTCTCCATCACACCACAATTTTTTCTTTTTTCAAATGCTTATACTCTTTTTTTTTAAAGATTTATTTATTTATTTTGTATACAGCATGTATGACCAGAAGAGGGCACCAGATCTCATTACAGATGGTTGTGAGCCACCATGTGGTTGCTGGGAGTTGAACTCAGGACCTCTGGAAGAGCAGTCAGTGCTCTTAACCTCTGAGCCATCTCTCCAGCCCCAAATGCTTATACTCTTGACCTAGCAAATTTATTCAGGGTAAATTATTGTAGAAACACATTGCACAATATAAAGTACTTAGGCTCATGGTTATTCTAAGACATGCTGTTTATAATAATATCAAATTGAGACAAACCCTAGATGACTGATTAATGACATATCAACATTGTGCAATGCTGTGCAGGTCAATATGGAGAGCATGCAAAGAAATATTGTTACATGAAACACAAAACCAAGTATACTTTGTATTATCTTGAAACCTCTCAGAGGTAGGGCGTGATGTGGAGAGAAACCGGAGAACAGAGACAATGAAAATATCAATCCCTATTTGTATTTTGCGTTTTATAAAGAAACTCTGGAATAATATTAAAAATTCAATGCCAGGCCCAATCTATACACAATCTATAATCCTGGCACTTGAAAGGCTGAGGCAGGAGGAATGTTAAGAATTCAAGTCCAGGCTCAGCTACACAGCAAGACCCTGCCACCAAAAATAAATAAATAAATAAATAAATAAACAACGAATAGACCTAAACAACTAAGCAAAATGAAACTAAAGTAAAATGTCACTAACAGTAGTTACTTCTGTTACAGATTTAACTGGGTACTCCTAAAATTCACTTATCCTGCCTAATCCCCAGTACCCCAGGAGGGAACCTTATCTGAAAATGGGGTTAAGTGTGCCCAACTCCAGTATTACTGGACCCATATAAAAGAGGGAACCTTGGACTGAGGAGTGTCGGAGCACTTGCCTCAAATGTTTAAGACTCTGCATTTGATCCCCAGCATTTCCAATCAACTAGTCAATTAATCAATAAAGAAAGGAATGCTATTTAGAAGCATACCATGTGAGATCTGGTAAAATCATTAAAACCCAAGGAACACCAAAAACTGCCAGCAAAGGCCTGGAATAAGGTCTTTCTAGAAGCTCAAAAATGACCAACTTTGCTGACACTTTGATCTTTGAATTCTAATCTCCTGAGCTTTGAACAATAAGCTACTGTGGGTTGGTTTCTGTTTGTTCTATTTTTTGAGACAGGGTCTCATTTTGTAGCTCTGGCTGGCCTCTAACTCAGAAATCCACCTGTGTCTGCCTCTTCTGGGAGAAAAGGCTTCCCCACTGTACGTGGCAGCTGTCATGGTTTAAATACCCACCTTTGAGGTGCTTTGTTAGAGGAGCCCCAGCAGACGAACACAGGGGGCGAGGGACAACACTGAGCACTGTGGAATGGAGGCCTTGTGCCTTTTCATACTTTCTGAGTTGATTTTTTTCATTTGTTTCTGAGACAGAGTATTGCTGTGTAGTCCTGGGGCAGGTCAGGAGTGGTCTAAAAAACTTCAATAATCATCCTGACCACTGGAATCACAGAGAGGAGCTACAACGCCTGGCTTGAAACTAGTCATGTTTCAAAATATTTAAACATGAAGTAAATAGGAAAACAATCTGATAGTGACTTGTGTGTGTGTGTGTGTGTGTGTGTGTGTGTGTGTGTGTGTGTGTGTTTGAGACAGGGTTTCTCTGTGTTAGTCCTGGCTGTCCTGGAACTCACTCTATAGAGCAGGCTGGCCTCAAACTCAGAGATCCACCTGCCTCTGCCCCCCAAGTGCTGGGATTAAAGATATGCACCACTAACCACCCAGCTGTGACTTTTTTTTTTTTTTTTTTTTTGGTTTTTCGAGACAGGGTTTCTCTGTGTAGCTTTGGTGCCTGTCCTGGATCTTGCTCTGTAGACCAGGCTGGCCTCGAACTCACAGAGATCCACCTGGCTCTGCCTCCTGAGTGCTGGGATTAAAGGCATGTCACCATCACCACCTGGCCCCAGCTGTGACTTTTATTTATAAGGCATCAGAAGCTAGAAATATCTGTAAAACGTTCCCGCTTCAGAAATGTACCCTAATTCCTACTTTGGGCTCCATTCCAGGGCTGACATCTGTCGAGTGGCTCCAGGACAGTTCCACTGCTCACTGCAGCTGTGAGCTGTGGAACACGCACAGGTGTAACTTTGGTACCTAGTCTGTAGTTACCAGTGACTCACCATTGGTGTCTGCTTTGACCTTTTCTTCTTTGATCTGCAAACTGCTCATCTGAGTAAGAATAAAAGGAAATGGTAAGCAAAAGACCCAACCAAGGAAGGCAGTGGGGCTGCCTGGGGAGCTAGTTTGTTCTACTCAATACACAAGTGCTAAAAACCTGGGCAAAGACATTTCATGTTTCCTCAGCAGCAAAAAAGGGAGGGAGGGGCTGGAGAGATGGCTCAGAGGTTAAGAGCACTGGCTGCTCTTCCAGAGGTCCTGAGTTCAATTCCCAGCAACCACATGGTGGCTCACAACCATCTGTAATGAGATCTGGCACCCTCTTCTGGCCTGCAGGCATATATGCAAACATAATACTGTATACATAAAAATAAACAAACCTTTAAAATAAATAATAAATAAATAGAAAGAAGAGGTGGGCATGGGTTAAACGTAATTGTATAAGGAGAGCGGGGGGAAGCTTCAAACATTTGCTTTCTTCTAACTTACACTCTTTCTAGAACGTCTCCAAGTTTTTGTTTGTTGGGTTTAGGTGATGCTAGGGTAAACCCAGGACACAGAACTTGTGTCCTTAATGGCAGATGTGCTACCACTCAGCCATGCCCCAACCTCTCTAACCCCATTAACAGCAAATAAATTACAGTCCTCTAGCCTATCAACCACCTGCATGATAAGTAACTTGTTTAAAATGTATTAAAATAAACTGGGGGCAGGGAAACAGGCCTTTATCTAGCACTTGGGGGATGGAGGCAGAAAGAGCCGAAGTTGAAGATCATGAGTTAGAAGCCAGCTTGTGCTACATGAGACTTGCCTCAAAAAAAAAAAAAAAAAAAAAATCGGGCTGGAGAGATGGCTCAGTGGTTAAGAGCACCAACTGCTCTTCCAGAGGTCCTGAGTTCAATTCCCAGCAACCACATGGTGGCTCACAACCATCTGTAATGAGCTCTGGTGCCCTCTTCTGGCCTGCAGGGATACATGCAAGCAGAATACTGTATACATAATAAATAAATAAATCTTTAAAAAAAAAAAAACAATGCCCCATTTAAAAAAACAAAACAAAACAAAAAAACTATTACAATCCTCTGGAAGAGCAGTCAGTGCTTTTAACCGCTGAGCCATCCCTCCAGCCCCTCACAAACATTTCTTATGTTCTAAAAACTGCTAAGAGTGTAACTTGACGATGGTAAGATGGTTAATCTTGACTATCAACTTGATGGTCCTTAGAATCCACAGAAGACACACCCCTGAGAAGTTTACCTGCGGCAGTAGGCCTACACAGAGTGTGGGCAGCACTATCCCTGCATTAGGGTCCAGGACTGAATGGGAAGGTGAGGAAGCAGCAGCAACAGCCACACTCATCTCTCCCTTCCTTCCCTGAGGACCCCTGTGGCTCCCAGCACCATGCCTCCCCCATAATGGACCATGTGTCCTTCTTAAGCTGGGAGCTGTTGTTCCTGTCCCGCTTTGTCACAGCCAAGAGAAAAGCAGCTAATGCAGTGTGTTATAAAAATGTTTCCAGGGCCTAGGTCCACCCCCAGACCCTAAATCAATGTCATGTGTTTCCAGGGCCTAGGTCCGCCCCCAGATCTTAATCAATGTCATGTGTTTCCAGGGCCTAGGTCCACCCCCAGACCCTAAATCAATGTCATGAGTTGCTGGTTTTTTGAGACACAGTCTCAATGTGGTAACACACAGCTTTCTCAGAAGGGCTAGACCAAGGATGTCAAAAGCAAGAATTTGTCAGCACTTACTCAACTGCATTCAAGCAAAGAACTGCTGGTGGACAAGTACACCTGTCTTGAGAGTGAACAGTAACCACCAATGGGAAGGCCAGCCAATCAACTGCCCACAGTCCTTTGTTCTGGATTCACCTTGGCACACAACCTCTGATGATTAATCTTGCCTCTCTGGACAGGAAATGCACACAGGTCTATGTGGTAGACCGTGTATGTATGTTGGGGTGGTGGTGGTGGTGGGGGGGCATATCTCTAGATTTACATCAGCCTTCAGAGAAGCAGAATGGTTAGGTTAAATATCAAGGATGTTCAAGTGGTATTGGTGACATTCATATCATAACGAAATTAAGGACATACTTTGTTTTTACCCCTGCAGTAGGGGGTGTCCAACCTAGGGCCTTGTTCCGGCTAGGCAAGTATGACTTACAAAACTAAGTCCCCAGCTTTGGCTAGTACATTTTAAAAACATACAAAGGTGGGTATGGTGGTACCCTCCTGTAATTCCAGTTAAGACAGGAGGATTACTGGAGTCAATGGATTTGAGCCACACTGGACATCAGAGTGAGATCCCCTTCTCAAACATATATAATTAAATTGAAAACAGTTCCCAGTCAATATCTTTTAGGGATAATCTCATATTAAACATTAGATTTGAAATTTCAGACTGGAACTCTTAGAGTGGGTAACTGCATGTCATCAAGCCTGATGAACTGAATCCATCCCTGGGACCCACACTGTAGGATGAGAACCTACCCTCACAAGCTGTCTTCTGGCCTCCACACACACAAATACAATTAATGGTTAAAAAAATAAACACAGGAGCTACAGTGATGGCTCAGTGGTTAAGAGAGCTTGCTGCTCTTGCAGAGGTCCAGGGTTTGGTTCCCAGCCCCCACCGAGAGGCTCACGTTAGTTTCTTATCTCCAGTTCCCGGGGACCCACCACCGTCTTCTAATGTATGTAAGCACAAAAGTGACCCACAGATACATGTAAAACAAACATAAGTAGACATTAAAAGAAAATATTTGAGGCCAACCCGAACTGAACAGTGATCTGCAGGCCATCTGGTCTGTGTCAATAACAAAGGCAGCAAGCCTGTAACTCCAACACTTAGGAAGCAGAAAGATAGCAGGAGTTCTTAAGGCTAGCCTCAGCTACATACACAGCAAGTCAGAAGCCAACCCGGACTAAATGAAACCCTGTCTCCTCGAACACACCATCACACCATCACCACAAAAAAAAAAAAAAAAACTAAGAAGTAAAACTAAAGGTCACTAAAATATTAACAAAACAGTTTGTATTTGTAGCCATGAGAAGCATTAAAGCAAAGCAAAGCAAAACAAACAAACAAACAAACAAAAAAACCCGTTATTCTGGAGAGCTACAAACTGCCAACCACATTAAGCATGAACGTAGGAACTGTTAGGTGAAAAGCAGCATAAACGCACTCAAAAACTGTCCCTTAACAAGGAAAAAGAGAATTTTATGTTGCCATGTTATAAAAGGTCAAGAGAAAGAGCCAGTTTGGGACATCGCACACATAGTGAGGACAGAGTCACCACGGGAAAAACTTTTCAGTCCAAACTCGGATAAAGAAGCTCGCTGCGGGTTTTCTCCGCTGCAAATCAATCAGCACAGAGCGACTGGCCGGCGCAAACAGCAGCGGCGCGCGGGCCAACCCGACTCAGGTCCCCGGGCGTGCTGGAAAGAGCGTCCGCCTCAGCCCCCCGTCCCCGCCAGGCCACTGACCGACTTGACAGCGGCTTCCTGCTCGTCCACCGCCAGCGCCCAGGAGTCGGTGGCCATGGTCCCCGAGGCGAGCACGACCTGCAGGGAGGCGCTGCACGCCGCCAACACCAGCGCTGAGCCCCAGAACGCGCCAAGCGCCACTCAGGCGGAGCGGAAGAAGACGTGCGCGGAGTTGACGTCAGTTCCTGTCCCGCGCGATCGTCTCCCACCCGCGCTCCGCCCACGGGTTGGTAAGCATGCTACTACTTCGTTAGGTGTGGTCTGATTGTGAGTTAACGCCCAAGAGAGTACTTGCTGCATCTTTTCATTTCATGCTAAAATAGTCCCTCCCTCTTTTTTGGTTTGTAAACTGGAACTCAGCTTCCCCCTTCACTTCTCAAATGCCAGGCTTACACGGGATCCGACGCCTTCTACTGGCCTTTGCGGTCACACACACACACTTACATACACATAATTAAAAATAAAATGAAGCCGGGCGGTGGTGGCGCACGCCTTTAATCCCAGCACTCGGGAGGCAGAGCCAGGCGGATCTCTGTGAGTTCGAGGCCAGCCTGGGCTACCAAGTGAGTTCCAGGAAAGGCGCAAAGCTACACAGAGAAACCCTGTCTCGAAAAACCAAAAAAATAAAAAAATAAAAATAAAAATAAAAAAATAAAATGAGCCGGGCGGTGGTAGCAACAGGCCTTTAATCCCAGAACTTGAGAGGCAGAGGCCTGGTCTACAGAGAGAGCTCCAGAACAGCCAGGACTACACAGAGAAACCCCGTCTCGAAAAACCTGGTTACATCCTTACATGTGTGGGTATGTATTTAATTTTTGTTTTCGCAGACAAGAATCTCATGTAGCCCAGACTGGCACTGAACTCCCTTTATTCCTGCCTCTGCCTCCCAAATACTGCGACAAGAGAACTAGTTCACACTGTTGTGCTGTTGGGATACATTTTAAAATCATGATAGTTGTGTAAAGCTGTTTGAATGACTTGAAGAGACACTTCACCAAAAAAAAAAAAAAAAGATGCTCTGAAAATAGTGTAAAATAAGACATGGTAGTGAACACCTTTAACTCCAGTACTTGGGAAGTATGAGGAAGAAGATGGAGAGTTCAAGGCCAGCCTTTGCTATATGAGACAGACCTAGTCTCAAAACAGATTTGGAGTCTGGCTGCCCATTGTCCTCTCTGTTTCGCAGTTTCGTTACCAAGCACAGCTGCTCTAGTACCAAGAGCATGGTTCTTCAGTATATCCACTAGGACACAATTTTTAGAGCAGATATGGTGTGTGAGCACAATTAAGGAGTTCAAGTTTTGGCTTCACTTGAGTCTGCAAGACATTTAGTAGGTTTTGTTTTAGTGTTTTGTTTTGTTTTGTGTTTTCGAGACAGGATTTCTCTGTGTAGCTTTTGGAGCCTGTCCTGGGTTCACTTTGTAGACCGGGCTGGCCTCAAATTCACAGAGATTCACCTGCCTCTGCCTCCCGAGTGCTGGAATTAAAGGCGTATGCCACCACTGACCAGCTGGTTTAGTTTTTTGAAACAGGGTTTCTTTGTGTAAGTAGCCCTGGCTATCCTGGAACTTGTCCTGTAGACCAGGTTGACCTCAAACTCAGAGAGCCGCCTCTTTGCCTCCTGAGTGCTGGGACTAAAGGTGTGTGCCACCACCACCCAGCTTTTTTTTTTTTTAAGACAGTGTCCCACTTTGCAACCTTGACTGTCCTAGAACTCTCAGTGTAGACCAGGATGGACTCTGAGATCCAACTGCTTTTGTCTCCAAAGTGCTGGGATTACAGGCATGCACCACCACTCCTGCATTTAATGATTTTTTTAAAAACCACTTCTTTCACACCACCTGCATCTACTATGAGGTTGGTTTCTGGCAGCTTAGGCTGAAGCCCCAGCTGGAACAATGAAACTAGTCAGCTATTTTTAGAAACGGCTCTGGGCTATATCTTACCTTCTGCCAGAACATTCACTCCAGGCCCACAGCTAGCCTGTATACTCCAAAAGGAGTACACCAGCTACAATCTACCCAGAATGACTCCTTTTTCCACACCTGAGGCCAAAGAGAAGGCACTCTCTGATCATTCCTATCAAATAGTCTGCTCTGAGCTGAGTTCTGACTCAAGTGAACATGGTAACATGAGTTAACATCTACACTTGATAGTTGTAGAATATTGTTTTAAGGTGTGTTACTTTTGTTTATGTTGCATTTGTTTAACTCTGAAGCTGTGTTACTTTGCCTATCTAATACACCTGATGGTCAAATAAAGAACTGAATGGCCAATAGCAAGGCAGGAGAAAGGACAGGCGGGGCTGGCAGGCAGAGAGAATATATAGAAGGAGCCAGAGATGGAGGAGGGAGAAAGGAGGAGCTAGAGAAGGAGGAGGACTCCAGAGGCCAGCCACCCAGCTACACAGCAAGCCATGGAGTAAGATTTACAGAAGTAAGAGAATGGGAAAAGCCCAGAGGCAAAAGGTAGACAGGATAATTTAAAGAAAGCTGGCAAGAAACAAGCCAACCTAAGGCCGGGCATTTATAATTAAGAATAAGCCTCTGTGTGATTTATTTTGGAGCTGGGTGGCAGGCCCCTAAAAGAGCAAAAACCAACAACACTTGATTGCAGCCAGAAGGCCTAGAAGCAGCAGTAAGATAACATTTTTTAAAAACATTCTAAACCAGGCATGGTGATATGCGCCTTTAATCCCAGTACTTGGGAGGCAGTGGCAGGAGGACCTGTGAATTCAAGGACAGCCTGGTCTACAGAGCAAGTCCCAGACAGAGAAACCCTGTCTCAGAAAACTCATTGAATCATTTCTCAGTATCCCTCTGTCATCTCCATTTCCCATTGAGGAAACTAAAGTTAGAGAAGTTAATTCTGTATTGATTTTTTAAAAGATTTATTTATTTATTATGTATACAGAAGAGGGAGCCAGATCTCATTACAGATGGTTGTGAGCCACCATGTGGGTGCTGGGAATTGAACTCAGGACCTCTGGAAGAGCAGTCGGTGCTCTTAACCTCTGAGCCATCTCTCCAGCCCAAGAAGTTAATTCTGACATCACACAGCCTAACCAACTGGCAAATGTGCCCACTGATTTCAGGACAACTCAGTTCTACTGCACAAACCCAAAACCTGGGAGTAGACATGGTTAGTTTTCTTCTTACTAACCAGTTCAACAAGCATGCATCTTAGAACCCTGATGGCATCTGACTGGCCAACACCAAATGAGCCAACCAATCACCGGAAGACAACACCCCTTTTCTGGGCACTTTTTACCCGCTCTTGGGCCTAGAACTGCCTCTGAATCACCTGCTGGGATGGAGCTCTCAAGTTCCCTGACCTGTGAGAAATTTTGTTTTCATCACTGACTCCCAGACTCACCATTGGCTTCCCTGCAGCTTGCCCATGTAGGGCACAATAAATGGTGCTCCAGTTAAGGAGGGAGCACATCCGTAAGTGAATTCTCTGCTCCTTTACACTCCAGCTGCCTCCACATATAGTAAGCAACAAGTCAGGGAGGAGTGGCCAAATGCCACCAAGATTCAGAAAGTAAAGGAGAGAGAGAATAGGTGCTAGAATAACTATTTGACTCATCAAAGTGAAAAAACTTCAATTTTTATTATATAAAAGAAGCTAGGCACAGTGGCACATGCCTTTAATCCCAGCACTTGAGAGGCAGAGGAAGGTAGATCTCAATGAGTTTGAGGCCAGCCTGGTCTACATAGTTAGTTCTAGGCCAGTCAAGGCTACAGAAAGAAACCCTGTCTCAAAAAAAAAAAAAAAATTGTATAAAGGACTGGAGGGGTGTAGCTTGATCACTGTAGAGCACTTGCCCAGCATAAGGGATGCTTGAATTTGATTCCCAGCACTAAGATTAACTGTATGAAAAAAATGATTGTGAAACATTTTCCTGAGGATATGTAAAACATTCGAAGACATATTACCATGGCACAGTTCTTTGCAAGCCCTGGTGCTGCTTGCTATCTCAGAATTCAGTAGTAAAGACATGCTTCCTACCCTTGCTGTACTAGAGTACAAAGGAAAACATATACTAAGAAGCAGTCCCCAAAGGGCATGAGGCAAATGAAGTAATATTGAGAGTGTGGAGCCTGGAACCAGAAAGTCTAGGCTTATCTGGATTTGCCTCTCCGTAGCGGGAGTGTTGTAGGGCAATTCACCCAGCCTCTCTGTGTTCATTTCCATAAAACAGGAATCATAACCTGTTTGTTGTGAAGAATGGATGGGTTAATTTATGGTAGGCCTTGGAAGATTACTTGACAAATACTGTGTCAATAAGGGAAGTACAGGGCACTATAGAAGATTAAGACAGAAATGGAGCACACCTGAAGATTTTTACCACTGAAACAGGAAGAGGAGATCCAGTTCAAGGTGGAGTTGTGGGGTTACCAGGCCATGGTGGTACACAATTTTAATCCCAGCAGATGAAAGGGAGGCAGAGGTAGGCAGATCTCTGTGTGTTCAAGGCCTACAGTGTTAGTTCCAGGACAGCCAGGACTTACACAGAGAAACCCTGTCTTGAAAAACCAAAAAAAAAAAAAAAAAAAAAAAACAACAAAAAACCCACACCCCAAAAAACTGAAAAAAAACAACCAACCAGCCGGGCGGTGGTGGCGCACGCCTTTAATCCCAGCACTCGGGAGGCAGAGCCAGGCGGATCTCTGTGAGTTCGAGGCCAGCCTGGACTACCAAGTGAGTTCCAAGAAAAAGGCGCAAAGCTACACAGAGAAACCCTGTCTCGAAAAAACCAAAAAAAAAAAACAAAACAAAACAAAAAAAAAACAACCAAACAAACAAACAAAACCAGAGAGATGGCTCAGAGGTTGAGAGCACTAATTGCTCTTCCAGAGGACCTGGGTTCAATTCCAAGCACCCACCTGGAAGCTCACAACTGTAACTCCAAGCTCTGACACACATGCAGACAAAACACCAATGAGATCACAAATTTTTTGCAACATCTTGATGGCAGAGAAGGCCCACCCTGCAGGCTCCTCTGAGCACACTCTTTTTAAAGAAAGACTTTCTCTGTGGAACAGCCTTGGCTGTCCTAGAACTCACTTTATAGACTAGGCTGGCCTCGCACTCAGAGATCTTCCTGTATCTGCTTTCCAAATGCTGGGATTAAAGGCATGTGCCACC